AACATCCATAAGCCATAGTTTAATTGGAGTTATTCACCAAAGTAACGATAGTTATATTTTATAAGTAGCATTCCCCAGAAACTATAGTTATAAGATGTTATGAGTACCATAAACATCCATAAACCATAGTTTAATTGGGGTTATTAACCAAAGTAACTCTAGTTGTAATTTATAAGTAGCATTCCCCGGCAACTATAGTTAAAAAATGTTGTGAGTACCATAAACCATAGTTTACTTGGAGTTATTAACCAAAGTAACTATAGGTATAATTTATAAGTAGCATTCCCCAGTAACTATAGTTGTAAGATGTTATGAGTACAATAAACCATAGTTTAATTGGAGTTATTAACCAACTTAGCGATCGTTTGGGTGCCACACTTTGAAGGGAAAAAATGCCCGCTGATTTTAGCTGGTTTGCTAGAGAAAATCACCATTTTTAAGAGGCAAATAATGGTAAATCATCTTTTTAATATATTTTCAACATCTATAGATAAGCCATGTTCTTAAATCACCAGAGGGCTTTTTTAGGAGATTTTCACCACGGGTTTCGTGCAGATTTTTGATCACCTGGCCTGACAGCTCATCAGTTACTCAGTTGAGGAATGGTTTCAAAATCAATCCCTTTCTGTTTGTAATTGGGTTTAATGTGGGTAAAACAATGTCATAAACCACCAAAATTACCATTTTTAAAGGTGGTATAAACCATTCCCAGTCATGGGTGGTTCATTATTGTTTTACCCACATTACTCGATTATGAACACTTAGGGCAGTTTTCAAGATGGGAACACAGTTGGAAGACTTGGGTTCGCTGATGAAAGCAAATGCCATCACTTTGGCCACCTGGACCAAACTCATCATCCCCGTCTCAGCGAGGGCCAGAAACTCTTCGATGGCACCAATGGAAGTGCAGAATTTGGTCTCCCATACAGTCGGTTCTGGTTGAGCCGCAGAAATCCCCCAAAGCGCGAAGTGTCAGTTTTATCTCCACTGTCAATGGCAAGTACTTCCCAAGAAACCATACTGGTTGGTGGTTTCAACCCCTCTGAAAAATATTAGTTAGTTGGGATCATTATTCCCAATACATGGAAAGTCATAAAATTCATGTTCCAAACCACCAACCAGCATAGTTTGATGAGCATTTAACCAACTCTCCCACTGACCAGTGACATCCCGGGATAGGGCTTAAGATTCGCCCTTGCTAATGGTTCTTGGTGAAAATCCCAAACATCAGCACCTTCGGGGTTGCAGCGGCATGAGCCCCAAACCACTTCGACATCCGACTCCACCGGAGGCACGCTTTCCGCAACCTCCAGCGAAGATGGGAATGGAAATCCGGATTTTTTTCCCGAAAAAAGGCGGGATTGCGAGCATCCCCAAGTATCAACTGGCGGTTTGTGGCATTTACGACATGATTTTAAAATATTCAACCATGAAAACTGAAAACATCACCATGAAATCTGACTGGTGCTAAACGTAGGGAATGGATGGGTTGCTGGGGATTGCGATGGTTATTACTAGTGATTATGGATCATTCCCGAAAATTCCCTACTTACTAAGCACCAGTAAGAAAATTCAAGAATATCCCATCAATATCCCAGTAAATCCTACCAAATCCTGTTGAATCTCATCCAGCAGCCTGTTGAATCCCAGCCTCAACGACATCCTCGGATTCCTCTGTGATTCTTCGGAGCGCTGGTGCAGTCGCAGTCACCTAGAGGGGCCGATGCCCGAAGGGACTGGGCTCTCCAAAACGAACACAATGGTGTTGGCATAGGGATTTAATAATGAATATGGTTATGGAGAATAATGGTGACGGAATAATATTAACCATGGTTAATAGGGATCCCATTCCATTGATGAATATGAATAATGGTTAATATGAGTAATAGGAATGTCATATAGGTGAATATTGAATGGGAAAATGAATAATGGTTCATGAAAAAATCATGGTTATGGAATAATAATCAGTGGATTTAATAGGGATGATAATGGGAATGTCATGGTTAATCTTTGACCATGATGGAATATGAATGGAACATGAAATGAATGGGGGTGTACTGGGATTACAATTTGGCATATGTTAACCCCCATGTTTTAACGATCAACAATCTGGATTTATCAGTAATTTTGATAGGTAATTTATGATTAATAAACATAGTATTACCCTCTGGTAATCAAACATAGTGATTTGAAGCATCGAGAAATTGTTGTTGTTGTTGTTGTTGTTGTTGTTGTTGTTGTTGTTGTTGTTGTTGTTGTTGTTGTTGTTGTTGTTGTTGTTGTTGTTGTTTTTTAAAGTTGTCGTAATGATTTTTTGCCCAGTTACGGAACATCCCCATGTTTGTTGGGAGATTAACACCCATCAGTTCACGGGAGTATATGACCAGTGCGAACGGGGGTGCAGTTGAGGTGGAAAAAATGAAAAATGCGATTGGACCATGGGATGAAAAAATCCCCTATAAGTTGGGATATACCCTCTGGTTCTTTAACGGTTTGCGAACTAGAAAGATCCACCATTTTTAAGTTTGGTAAACCATCTATTTCTGAACTATGGGCCATCTATTTTCCATGGCTATGTAAAAAATAACCAGAGGGTAAAAAAAAAAACATATAACCATAGTTATCTTCTGTTGGTATATCATAATATATAACCATAGGATATGTTGTAACCATAGTTACAACCCCTATAACATCCTATAACTATGGTGACTTCTAGATCCAAGATGGACATCACTGGAACTGCACGGCATGATTCGACCCAAAAACTCTATGTCAACAGACCAGAGCAAGAGAATCCCATCAGGCTAACTGGCTATTGAATATGAATGAATCACCAACAACTGAACAGTTCCACACAATTTTGGGGATAGTTCCCTAATCCAACAGGGGTTAGTAAATGTCTTAATTTTTCACAAACAAAAAAGGAGATATCGTCTCCAACAAATACTTGTATACTTGTTTCACGTGATGTCCAAAACCCTTATTTACCGGGACATGTACCCACTACTGCCAGATCGTAGACTAACTAAGATTTATTGTGGATATAGTCATATTTATATATATATATATAACATCTACACTGAGATAGGTTTATAGTGACCGACTTACACTTAGAACCTCTATTTTTCCAAAATGTTTGATCAAACACTTAGAACCTTTTCAATTTTAGGTTCTAAGTGGTGATTTTCGCAAAAACGAAAAATCCGACACTTAGAACCTTTTTGGGGTTATGTTTACTCCAAAATGTAAGTCGGTCACTATATGTGAACAAACACGCATCATACATCTATATATATATATATACAGATACATAATGTATACGTATATATATATATACATATCATGTGCGCATGTGTGCATATGTAGATGCACACATATATATATAATCTTCTCCTAAGCCTGTGTCAGCCGATGCTACTACGATGCCGTGCTGAAATCGGCTGGAAAACTCCACAGCAAATCTTCTCTGTACTTCGTTTTGTTCTTAGACTTCGGTAGAAAGTCACGAATCCCAAAGAGTCTTTCCAAATCTCAACACTTAGAACCTTTTCGGGGTTATGTTTGCTCCAAAATGTAAGTCGGTCACTTTCTAAGTGTTAGGTTCCCCAAGGAATACGACCACATAAATGTTGTAGCGAAGCATCCCAAGTTGTGTATATATTTCATTCAAAACTCTTTTGTTCAATCCATATATCCATGCATACATCCATACATGCATCCACACATACATGCATGCATGCATATACATAAGGAAGTTTCGGCATGGCCGCGGAATGCGGCGGGTGCCATCAAAAACAACAAAACTTGGAGAAACCTCAGAGAAATGTTTGAAATAGCAAGCCCAAAGATAATTTCACCACAATTTCTTCGATGATTATTATATGTATATGTATATACGAATATATATATAGTGGCACCGGCTTACACTTAGAACCTTTTTTGGAAAAATCGGGTAGGTTCTAAGTGTTAAAAAAAAACATGATAAAATTGGGAAAGGTTCTAAGTGTTAACGAAAAAAACGTGATTTGGTTCTAAGTGTTGATTGGTTAGGGGTTCTAAGTGTACACTTAGAACCTGGTCCATATTTTTTGCCTTGTGTTTGTTTTTTAAACTCTTTCCAAAAAAGGTTCTAAGTGTAAGTCGGTCGCTATATACAACTTATAACTAACTAGAACTCCAAACATATGTCTGGGAAGTTCTAGATTTTACGTATTGAAATACCTCCCAGTAGTTTCTGGAATCATTGTTGTGATGAATATGTAAACTATATAATATCATAAATTGCATATATATATATATATACACATCTATAGTAGATATGTTTACTAAAATATGCCAATTATTTATGCACTGATATATGCCAATATTTTATGTTTGTCTGAAAATTTGGATTAAACATATGACGTTTACACATCATTTTTTTCATGTGGCACCTTACGACGCTTGGAAGTGGAACTTTCAACCGTCGCCGGTAGCAGCTCAGGAGGAGCCACGACCTCGTTGGATGTGACGATTTTCTACCCTCCGGTACCCTCTGGTTATGTCAAAATAGCTATTGAAAATTGCCATTTATAGTGAGTTTTCCCATTAAAAATGGTGATTTTCCATGGTTATGTTGGTTTACCAGAGGGTAACAAAGATGATTGTAAATTCAAGGAAATTTCACCCAGACAAATTGGTGGTTTGACCAATAAAAATGGTGATTGATTGGGATTGAACCAAGAAAAATGATGGAAGAATGCTGATATAATGAAATATTCATGGAATATGAGTTATGAGTGGGATATTCGCGGAAGATTCGTTATAATAACCTATTGGAAATCAATCATGGCTAGCGAGAAGAATGGGATATCATTCTTGGTTAATTGTGATCTAATGGGATAGAAATGGGTGATAAGAATATCCATACAAACCTCTGGGATACAATAATGGATGTTTTTTTGGCATATGGTTTTTCCGCTACCAATCTCTTTTCCTGACACGCAACAAAATCGGCGGACTTTTTTCCCTCCACGAGTCACATTTAACCGCGATCCAACCTGAAGTCCGCCATGACATCGAGATCACTTCGCGGAGCACCTTCCAAGCGTCCTCCAGGTAGCTTTTGTGTGGTGAAGATCTCAGCGAATAAACAGCGGTTCTCAAAACTCCAGCAACGCCAATTGGATCTTCCTGATGTCCTGGCGAAGGTCAAGACCCCCAAAAAATCACGGTTCTTCGCTGGAAACTATAATCAGATACAGACCTGGACATAATATCAAAGAATTGTTCGATATAGGATGAGGATTATTAAAGTACTGACATACTAATTTAATAACTAATGATAATAATTACATCATTTTGTTCCAAATAACAATAGTCGCCTCCCATGTTTGGGTTTCTTTCCATACTAACCATTTACAGTGAGGTCGTTCTGATGTTTCTGTGTCTAGAGACCCCATCTTTCTTTGTCGCTTAAATTACCGTTTGAGAAATGAAACAATCCTCTACCCCATCTATGGAATACTGGTTGGTTAGTGGTGAAATGGGTTCATGATCAACAAGGTAGTACAACTGACCAACTATGTCCCAGTATGATAACCAATCAACGGTTGTTAACATAAATTGTCTTCAGTCGTATGGACCGAATGACTATCAATGTGATTGGTGGTTCGAACTCGCATTTGATTCTTGAGGTCCGCTATCAGAACCAATCAACACGGACATTTTCAAGTATAATCGATAACTATCAGTTGTCAATGATATCTCCATATTTTGTTGGTCGTAAAAACATATGTACAAAACCCGCTGTGGAGGGTGTCTTTCCTCATTGAAACCCATTTATTGTATGTTGTCTATTGTGTTCATATTTGCATCATATTTTAAAACTGCATTGATCCTTGCCTGACTGGCTCCCTACTGGCTGAATACCTCAAATTCATGTATTACATATATAGCCTATAGCCACCCAATCAAAACATAGAAACAGGTGTTCAGAATATTATAGATGCTGTTTCAGCCAAATGTTCCCATTTTTTCGTTCTTTTCTCGGGGGTTGCCCGGTTTCGTCCTCCAATGAACCGCGCATCAATTGACTCGCCACATCCACCGCACACAGCGCAGACCTGGGGTTTTCGGTACCATCGCTGGTATTTATGGATGCTGATTCCGAAACAAAAAAGGCTCTGGTTACATCTATGACAACCATATATCCATACCTGGGTACCTAGCTACTGTCAAGATCATCTATGTTATACCTTATCAAGCAATTGATCCCTATTATTTGATATGTATGTATATATATATATACCCTCTGGTAAACTAACACTATTGAACGTGGCCATTTATAGTGGATTTTGCAACCAAAAATGGTGATTTTCCATGGTTATGTTGGTTTACCAGAGGGTATATGTCACCAATAGAGATTTGTTCAGCGACTTTTTGATTACAAAAAATGGTTGTGAATCTTCATGATTCTTGTTCGCCAACCATCAAAGATAATTATTAATGAAAATAAATATATACTGTTAATAATGGTTATTACTAATGGTTATTATATGGTTATTGGTGGTTAATAATATGGTTATCAATGATTATTAGTGCTTGCACATGGTTATTAATGATAATTAACAGTTTTTAATGGTTATCAATGATCATGAATGAATATTAACGATTATTCATTATTATTCATTATCATGAATAATCATGAATTATTATTCATGATTACTCATCATCATTACTGGTTCTTCATGGGGTTAATGATTATTAATGTATATCAATTAATATTAGTGATGATTAATGGTGATTAATGATGTTTAATGATTTTTCTGACTTATTGATCCAATCAAAAAACATTCTTACATTTTTATGATTATTAGCGGCAAACATGATCTCTAATGTTTATGGTTATCAATGATTTTAATGATTATGAATGATGATTAATGATTGTGAATGATGATTAATGTAAGAATGGCTATTAAGGATCAGTTTAAAAAATGATTCTTGAATATTAATACAGATGATTTATATATTACTTAACAATCCAACCACAACAAATAATTATTAGTGCGTATTAACGATTACCAATCAAACCACAACAAAGCATTATCAATGATTATCAATGATTACTAATCCAACCAGAATAATCCATGAAAAAATATTGATGATAATTAATACAGCCATTGATAATGATTATTAACGTTAATGAAATTAACCATAATAAACCATTATTAACGATTAACATGCGTTATACTGACTATTAGCTATTTTCAATCAACCAACAAAAAAACTTTATTAACGATGGCTAATAATTACCAGTAGTACAGCGCAAGGCGGTGGCGGAAGTTTCAGAATAGGAAACCTATAGGAGAGCTTGGTTGTTGTGAACCATGGATGGCAGAGCGAACCCACTGATGGACTGAAAGGTGGTTAAAGGTGGTTGGAGTTGTGTTTTTTTTGGAGTGGTTACAATGGTTGCAGTGGTCACCTGGTCGGCCACCTCACCCACAACTGCTGGATGTAGTGTGGTGTAGTGCAGCTGTAGTTGTATAGCTGTAGTGTAGTGGAGCTGTAGTGTAGTGGAGCTGTAGTGTAGTGGAGCTGTAGTTGTTGTGTAGTGCAGTTGCAGTTGCATTTGTGGTGGTGTAATGAGTGTAGCGTAATGTAATGTACGGAAGTGTAGTGTAGTCTAGTGTAGTGTGGTGTGGTGTAGTGTGCTGTAATTCGTGTAGCGTAATGTAATTTGTGTAGTATGGTGTAATGTAGTGTAGTTGTAGTTGTAGTTGTAATTGTAGTTGTAGTTTTTGTAGGCTCACTTTTGACCAGGTGCGCAATCCCTCGCGCCTGCCACGCAGAACGACATCTGAACGTCCAAAAGTGGTCCGGACATGTAGTGTTTTTAACATTTTAACTTGGAAATGTGCTTCGCAACAACGGCGTGCACTTTTTCGACATCGCAACTTCTAAAAGTACTCCGACGCTGAGGTGTTTTACGCATTTTGACGTGGACATGTGCTTCGCGCTAACGGCGTGCAATTTTTCATCTCTCATCTGGCCAGATGGCTCCGCACCCGCCGTTTTAGCCAGCCTACTTTTCGACCCTCCGGGGCCACAAATCATTGGAAAAACACAGTGCTTCGCGACTTTCCTATCTTTTCGCGCACCTGCATCTTCTCTCTTCTGACTCTCTCTTCTCTGATCTTCTCTATCTTCTCTTCTCCTCTCTGACTCTTCCCACCTCCACTTTTCCATCTGTCCATACTGTCGGAAGTTTGACTTCTAAACTTCCTTCGGTTAGTCCAACAAAAACATAGTTCATTAATAGTGATTATTGATGATTATGAAACATGATTATTGATGATTGTTAAGGCAGCCATTAAAATTCTTTAATACTGATTAACAACGTCAATTAAATTAACCATAACAAACCATTATTTAACGAATGATTTATACTCATTATACATGATGAGTAATCCAACCATAGTTTTCCTTCATAAAGGCTATCATTGATGGTTAGTCCAACCAAAGTAATTCATTAATAATGACTATTAATGATTTTTGATTTAACTATTAAAAATCATGATTCATGATTACACATGTGTCTTATTTTAATAATGAAAATCATTGATACTGAGTGATAACGATTTTTAATCCAACCATAATAAATCAATATTAATGATCGTTAACGATGTTTGATCCAACAAAAACCATTATTGATGATAGTTAAAAATCATTACCCCAACAATGAAGAACCATTATCTACCATAGCAACTCAACAAAAATGATTATTGTTGTTATTAATCCAACACTATTAAATTATTACTATTGATTATTAGCAATTGTTACTCCAACAACAACAACAACAAATATTTATCAATAACTATTAATGGTTGTTAATCCAGCCATAGTAAGTCATTCAAAATGACTATTATTTATTATTGACCCAACACTGGTCAATCATTATTTATGATTCCTAATGGTTATTGATCCAACAATAATTTACCATTCTTACTGATTATTAACAGTTATAAATCCAACAAAAATAATTCATTACGACTCATGGTGATTAATACAGCCATAATAATTCATTAATAATGATCATTCATGATGATTAATGGTGAATAATCATCATTAATAATTATAAATGATCAGGATTAATTTTTATTACAAGAAGAAACACATTATGAATAATTATTAATCATTATTCATGATAATCACTGTTAATTATTATATCATGATTATTCATTATTACTAATCCAACCATCAAACATCATTAACAATGATTATTCATAATGATTATTGTTAATGGTGAAAACTATGCAACAAGAGAAAACGCATTATTAATGGGTTCTTAAATGTTATTAATGATGATTAATGAACATTGAGAGCAGTAATGATTATGAATGATGATTAATAGCTATTACTGATTATCAGTGGTCATTATTATATCATGATTATTCATGATTGTTAATCCAGCCATAGTTACTACTACTGATTATAATAATGAACAATGGTTGATGATGGTTGTTAACTATTATTAACGATGAGTATATCATGATTCATGGTTCATTAATGATCCTCCAACCAGGTGGTGCCTCATAGTTAGCTAAGTTGGTTTATAAGTCCAACATCTAGGGTTTATGGAGGATATAACTATACTTAATGGGGATTATAAACCAACAAACATAAGTACGGGGCACCACCTTGAACTGATTATCATTGATGATTATTGCGGATTATCATTAACTAATATTGTTACTATAATAATCAGTAATAAAAATGATCATCATTAACAATCATCATTCATAGTCATGGTTGTTCATCATTAAAAATAATTGGTCATTAATCCAACCATAATGATTATTGTTCATTTTTTTAATCCTCCCAATAGTTATTACCATTATTACTGATCAACCATATTAATAATAATAGTTAATGGCGATCATTGATCATTAATGAACAATTAATGATTATTACCAAACCAACCAGATGATATGATATCATTATATCATATAATAATCTGTAATAACAATCTGTAATGATAATCTGTACTAATAGTTATAGTTACTAGTTACCAAACAATAATTAGCTATAAATACGACTGATCATTGATGATGATTATCTGTAATAATAATCTGTAATATTGGAATTATAGGAAAATCCATTATAAACCATCCAGCTATTGGGGTACCTCCATTTTTGGAAACCTCCATATTATCATGAATGATCATTAGTTATTACTATTATTACTGATCAACCATAGTTATAAATGATTATCACTGATCATTAATGATTAGTTTCCGAACAATAATTACTGTCAGTGCCAGAATTATAGAACGGAAGTTGAGGAGTACGAAGGTACGGTTATTTACCGTACCCTGTTGTTCTATAATTCTGTTTTCCTCGGAAGGTATGAAAAAAACGTATCTGAATTTACTCCTAACTTTTTCGTCGTTCTATAATTCTTGTCGGAGCGCTGTTGTTCTATAATTCTGTTTTCCACCATTTTTCTCACATTTCCCATTTTCGTTCTATAATTAATTTTCTCCGTTCTATAATTCATTTTTCCGTCGAAAGGAAAAATTAATTATAGAACGGATAAATTAATTATAGAATTATAGAACCTCTTCCGGGGTCCCAGAAAGAGCTGAGCAAACTGCCTTTTTTCCATCCCCTCAAGACTTGTATTGTAGCAGATCGTGGGCCGTCAAATAGCTCACTGGAACATCTGCCGTCAAATCCTCATTAAATCTTCATTTTATCCTCATTTCCTCATCAAATCCCAATTAAATCCTCATTTTATCCGCGTTTTATTATCATTTCCTCATCAAATCCTCATTTTATCTTCATTTTATCTTCATGTTATCCTCATTTTCTCATCAAATCCTCATTAAATCCTCATGTTATTTTCATTTTATCCTTATTTTATCCTCATTTCCTCATCAATTCCTCATTTTATCTTCATTTTATCTTCATTTTATCCTCATTTTATCCTCGTTTCCTCATCAAATCTTCATTTTTTCCTCATTTTATCTTCATTTCCTCATCAAATCCTCATTAAATCTTCATTTTATAGATTGTATATGTACAAATATGCAGTAAATATCATGGAGGTGCCAGAAATTATAGAACGGGGAAATTTAATTATAGAACGGAGAAATTTAATTATAGAACGGAGAAATTTAACTATAGAACGGGGAAATTTAATTATAGAACGGATCCGAATCCGCGCGGAATCGGGATCCGGAGGAGCACGAAGGTACGGTATTTTACCGTACTTTTGTACTCCTGGCTCCGTTCTATAATTCTGGCACTGACTGTAGTTTTAAATATTACTGATCACTAATCAATCTTGTTACTATAATTATCTGTGATAATCATCTGAAATATTGATATGGATGTGGGTCAAAATGGAAGACCTAGGGGACCACAGATGTTAGTCTAGTTTAGTATTAACCAAGCAAGTATTGGGGTACCTAATTTTGACCCATACCCATATTATCATGAATGATCATTAGTTATTACTATAATTATTATCTGGGATGAATGATCCTCCCAACCACCAAGGCACTCCTGCGGCAAACACGGCCTCTCCAGCTCGAGGGCCTCCCGCCGTGCCGCTGCGATGCACTGTTCCAGATCCAGCTCCTTGGGCCCGACCACCGGGGAAGCACCGGGGACGGGGGTGAAGGGACCCAAAAATCTCGGAAAAAATGAGGGGAGTGATGGATTTGAGATGAATTTGATGAATTAATTCGGTATGGAAAATTTGGCAAAGATGGAGAATTTGATGGCTTGATGGCTTCAAGATGGATGTTGAAAGAGACATTTTATTCCCAAAAATGTCCACCAAATGGGGACTTGATGGATTTACGATGGGGTTTGGAAGATTACTTCTGTCCTCTCTCGAAGAAAGGGGCTGTGTTAGTGATGGCAAAGTGGATGTTTACGGTCAAAACCTGGTTGGTGGTATACCTACCCCTCTGAAAAATATGACTTCATCAGTTGGGATGATGACATTCCCAATATATGGCAAAATAAAAGAAATATTCCAAACCACCAACCAGTTAAGTTGGTTAAATCCTCATTAAGTTGGTTAAATCCACCATTATTCTTGGTGATGTTCCATAGTTCTGTAACAAATTACCAGAGGGTATTCCAAATAGCCATAGCCTCTGGTAATTTGACATGGGAAATCATCCAGATCACAACGGGTCAGAGACGGGCCATGGCTTCCGTTCGTTCGCACACTTTTTCATGTGGTCGGATGTACTTGGGGATTGTCCCATTTTTTGAACCAAAAGAGGGGTTGCAAAGAAAACTGAGAAGAGGACAACCTAAGGAAACCGGTGAGATTTAATGATGCTGAATATATTAATGAATCTGTTCATCTTAATCTAAGGGAATGCGATGATTTTCCCTTGACTGATTGGCCAGTTTCATAAAGGGCGATGCGTCCATTTTGACAGCCCCTCTGAATGAATACAATCAACATACATAAGACAACCAACTGAATAGATGGGTTTGACTGAAAATAAGCTATCCCCTATTGCAACAGTTTACTATATGTTCCCAAGTACTATGTCGAATTTGTGGATGAACACATGTTTTGACAAATCCAAAACGTTTTGGTGGTATGGCATGCCGATAATGAAAGCCTAGAGCCCACAAAAAAGACCCATCATGTCCGTATTATCAACCACAATGTCAACCCGGGATTAATCAACTCTGTCGATGAATTGGGGTGGCTACCACCAACATAGGAATCAATAACTGTAATTGAGAGAGATCACAGTTGAAATAAAGTTTCATCGCAAATTTGGCTGGTTAAGTCCATGCCCATGCTTTTGACAGTTCAACCTCTAGTTTTAAAAGTAACATTCATGACACACATTCAAAAAACCTATCCCATGTACCCTCTGGTAATTTAACAGTTTGTTATTGAAAATGGCCATCGAAATAGTTGATTTACCCATAAAAAATGGTGATTTTCCAGTTCGCAAACTGTTAGTTTACCAGAGGGATCCAGAGGGTAAAGACTTGATGATAACCACAACCGTCTGCTGGCTACACACATGGTTTGCGGGAAAATTTCCATCTAGATACATCAAAACGCACGTTTCATTTTTCTTGGTGAAGACTTTCCATTGAGTCAAGTTGGTTTACCCATTAAAAATGGTGATGTTCCATAGTTAGGATAATTTAGCAGAGGTGGTTCATGTTGAATAATGGTGATTGATGGTTAATAATGGTTAAATCCTCATTAAGTTGGTTACAATCATTATGGTTAATAATGGTTAATAACCAGTTAAGTTGGTTAAATCCTCATTAAGTTGGTTAAATCCACCATTTTTATTGGTGAAATCGCCATGGGCTCACCATTTCGGCCGAAAGCAAGGCGCTCTGCAGCGCTCCGCGGAGCCTTCCGCGGATTTGTCGGCGGGACGTGGATCCTCGTCCAGATCTTCGTGCACCACCTGGATGCGAGGATATGTAAAATACGAATCCACTTATATAACTTATATACACTCTGGTAAACGTTTACAGTCTGCGACATTGAAAATGGCCCAGTCGAAATAGTTGATTTTCCTATTAATAGCATGGTGATTTTCCATAGTTTGTTGTATGTTTACCAGAGGGTATTTATCCACTTATAATCCACATAAAAAATATATTATCCAGATATAAAGTGTACTGAACATGAATTTATCCACTTATATATTACATTATATTACATGTAAACTTGTCATACGTGATATATATATATATAACTATATTTATATATAGACCATGTGTATGTATATATATATATATCAAGTATGTGTCTATAAAGTTTGAATACATATACATACTATACATATATACTTACATATAGACAAAGTATAAATATCGCAATATATATATACTGTATATGAGGACATACATGAACAGGTGCTTACAAAGAAAACATCATCACACTACATACAACATACTTATGTAAGGCAACTAACATCTGTACAAGTGATGTGTCCACAAGAAACATAGTTATTTTCAGGGTCGTCAAACAACTGGAGGTTTCAATGATTCAATAGCAAAAATATCGCACTGAATGATACACTTTCCAGCATATCAACATTTCATACCCTATCATATCCTCACTATAGGCATATTATCATATATATATACATATATATATATGTACATATATCCCTATTCATCCACCAATATCCCATGAATATTCAATTATATCCCATTAAATCCCATCAAATGATGGCTAAATCCCATTAAATCTCATCATTATCCGACTACTATCCAATTTAATCTGGGTAAATTACAATATTTCACTAACCTGAATTGTTGGGCCATTTGGGGATGATTTCCCTTACTAACCATGATTCCAGGGTTCGGGAGAACAGGGTTCGGTCGTTATAATTTACCCGGATTAATGTCAACTATTGGTCATCTAGCAATGTCAAACCATGGCTTAATGGCAAATTATTCATGGTTTATGATGTGAATATTAATGGCTAATAGTTTTCTTATTAGTGGTTTATGATGTTTAACTTATTATATGATACTATTATTCATGCTTAAACACCAGTTGCTTTTTGGAACGGATCACCAGTTTTAATCTGTTCATGATGTTTATTATCCCAGATTAATATAACGATCCCATGTATTCCCATTAAATCCCACCAAATGATGGTTAAATCCTGGTTAAATCCCAACAAATGATGGTTAAATCCCATTAAATCCCAACAAATGATTGTAAAATCATGGACCCCACCAAATGATGGATGGTTAAATATGATGGCATGATGGTTAAACATTAAATCCCACCAAATGATGGTTAAATATTAAAACCCCATTAAATCCCACCATGGTTATGGTTAAATCCCAAATGATTAAATTAAATCACCCCTGGTTAAATACTGATTGTTAAATCCCACCGTTAAATCCTGGTTAAATCCCAACAAATGATGGTTAAATCCCATTAAATCCCAACAAATGATTGTAAAATCTGGTTAAATCCCACCAAATGATGGTTAAATCCCATTAAACCCCACCAAATGATGGTTAAATCCTGGTTAAATCCCACGATGGTTAAATCCCATTAAATCCCACCAAATGATTGTTAAATCCTGGTTAAATCCCACCAAATGATGGTTAAATCCCATTAAATCCCACCAAATGATGGTTAAATCCCATTAAATCCCACCAAATGATTGTTAAATCCTGGTTAAATCTCACCAAATGATGGTTAAATCCTGGTTAAATCCCAACAAATGATTGTTAAATCCCATTAAATCCCACCAAATGATGGTTAAATCCTGGTTAAATCCCAACAAATGATGGTTAAATCCCATTAAATCCCAACAAATGATTGTAAAATCTGGTTAAATCCCACCAAATGATGGTTAAATCCCATTAAACCCCACCAAATGATGGTTAAATCCTGGTTAAATCCCACGATGGTTAAATCCCATTAAATCCCACCAAATGATTGTTAAATCCTGGTTAAATCCCACCAAATGATGGTTAAATCCCATTAAATCCCACCAAATGATGGTTAAATCCCATTAAATCCCACCAAATGATTGTTAAATCCTGGTTAAATCTCACCAAATGATGGTTAAATCCTGGTTAAATCCCAACAAATGATTGTTAAATCCCATTAAATCCCACCAAATGATGGTTAAATCCTGGTTAAATCCCACCAAATGATGGTTAAATCCTGGTTAAATCCCACCAAATGATTGTTAAATCCTGGTTAAATCCCACCAAATGATGGTTAAATCCCATTAAATCCCACCAAATGATTGTTAAAACCTGGTTAAATCCCACCAAATGATGGTTAAATCCCATTAAATCTCATCATTCTCCGACTAATATCCCATGAATTTACCAATCCCACGTCGGGTCGCCTTGTCAATCAACTTCCGGAAGCCCGAGCGCGTGGTGCCGCCGCGCGGCAGCGAGGGCCGGGGCAGTCGGAGCTTGACCTGCGGCGGTTTTTTGTGCTGGGGTTTCATCGTGACTACCTTAGGTTATTGTTGGTTAATAGTGGTTAATGACCATTAGTCGTGACCTAGAGTTAATAGTTGTTAATAATGGTTACCCTCTGGTAAACATAAAACGATGGAAAGATCCACCATGTTTAATAGGGAAATCAACTATTTCGACTGGGCCATGGCTTCAATGTCGCAAACTGTTAAATTACCAGAGGGTAATCTTTTTTGAACCATGAAACTTGGATCTGAACGTGAAAAAATCAAATTTTCATGGTTAAGACTAGATCTTCCATGGTTTCAAATTAAGTTGGTCATGGTTAAATCAACATTCTTCATGCATACAAATTGGATTTCAACCATCAAGAATGGTGGTTTAACTATGACCAGTTTATTTTTAAGTCATAACAAATCTAATCTTAAGCATGAAAATTTGCTTTTCACCATCAAGAATGGTTATTTAACCATGACAAATGTAACCTTTAACCATGGAAAGATGTTCTTTTAACCGTGAAAAATTGGTTTTAACTATCAAGACTGGTGATTTAACCATGGCAAATTTAACTTTAAATCATAAAAAATTCTAATCTTAAGCATGAAAATTGGTTTTCAACCATCAAGAATGGTGCTTTACCTAGACCAATTTAATGTAAATCCGTGAAGCAACATTAACATGATTTACTTTACGTCGGGTGATCCCCATCGTGACAAATTAGTTTGTCATAGTTTCTGCCATCTCATCTGGAAATATACATGGTATATATTCTCTGTCATTCTATTCTGGCATGCTATCTGGCATCTATTCTGGCATTCTCTCGGCACTGAGCTCTGGCACTCGCAGTCCGGCAGCGCCCACTGAGATCTTGAGCTCGCGAGGGCGTAGTGCGAGGCAGGAGGAGGAAGGAGGCGGAAGCAGCTCTGATAAAATCTAGAGACCCTCACCTGGCAAATTGGAAAATTCAATTTGAACCATAAAAAATAGTAAAACATGGGGTGTTGATGGATGTTAACCATCAAATAATGGGATCTGAATTAAGCGTCTGAACCATGAAAATTGACGCTTTAAGAGGGTTGCGTAGAGTTGTTCATTGCTTCTAAAGGGCTTACGGGGAAAAATGTGGGCCTAAGGATGTAACCAGCTGACCTCCGGGATCACAGCTTTGTCTCCAAATTTCTTTCCGCAAGCTTCTGCAATGCGCCCATCCCAGGAATATTTATTACCAAGCTGCATTGTAAGCTATCTAGCTATTTGCTGGTTGGTTGTATAAAGCGTTATCCTCATGTTTATCCCCAATCATTGGTTATGTAGGCTGTTGAGTTCGGAGGATACAATTTCACTAGCAGTTTACCCTCTGGCACACATCAACAAAACTATATAAAAACCACCATTCTTAATGGTGGAAATCAACATAAATCAATGTCAATTATCTATAAATGAGCCATGTTCAATGCCCATTACCAAATGGACTATTAAAAATAGCCCTGATATTGGCTGAGATATTTCCCCATATTTCTGGGTCTCACAATTTCTCCAAGAATAAAACTGCCTTGCTGGCCACTTGGAAGGTGTAGAGGTTCTGGGCCAACTCTTTGAGAACCTCCTGCGATTCAGCAAGATTCAGCGGAGAACCATTTGGATTTGGGACCCTGGTCATTTAACCAATAGCTATGGTTAATTTGGGAAAATCTACTATGTTATAGATGGTTAATGGGATAGAAAATGGACTTTCATGGGATCTATAGATGGGGTTCTAAGGGAAATTAGCCTCTGGTAATTTGTTACATAGCGAAAATGACCAAAGAAATAGTGGATTTACCCATTGAAAATGGTGGATCTTTCCATCGTTTTTTGGGACTGTTTACCAGAGGGTAACTGGGAAGAACCGGGAACACTTGTTCAATTTCGTTTCCAACCATGGTGAGTATAAAAATAAACCGACCGACACTTTATATACCCTTTACTAACATAGCTATGGAAAATCACCATCCTGAATAGGTAAATCAACTATAAATGGGCCATTTTCAATAGCTATGTTAAATTACCAGAGGGTAATTTTCAAGTAAATGAGGATGGCCAAGCTTTGGGTCTTGATCGTCATGAAGCCTGTATCAATGGTACGACCCAAGCAACAAATACTTTTGCATCTCATGTTTGACCAAGATCCTCTTTTTCTGTCATGATGCAGCTATGCCTATCCATTCAACAGAACGTAAACAAACAGTAAACAGTGAAGTAGTCTTTACATAAAAAATCAATGTTTAAATTTATATTTGTCCAACAAACCATGGATATGGGCATGCCTGGAAATGAGGCATACTCCAAAATTGCAAGTTAGATAGGAAAATGATGAGAAACCGGTGGATTTAGGGCTAGTCTATTTTCGGACGACAAACCCGGACTATGGTATACAGCGTCAGTTATAAGTGGATAGGTGTTATATCATATCCCAACTTATGTGGTGCTAGCAGCACCATGGCTATACCCATCAATAATATACATGCCATCCCAACTGTGGTTTGTAAATAGATATATCCATGGGATTATAAACCTGCAACTACAGTGAAATACACCCACCTAGTATCCTTTGCCACATGGCTTTGTCTGAAAATAAGTTACCCTAAAACCCGCTGGCTCATAATCTTCCCGACCTGGAAGTGCAGTTCCAGTTATAAGTGGATATATGACCATAGTTACAGGGTTTGTATCCCAACATGAAATAATTACAATGCTTATACCCACTATTTTCACCTCAACCTTCACCCCTCCGTATTAAACTGCCATGAATCTGGTGTATCCCCACTGCTGAGCGCTGCCTGTAATCGCTCGTCCGCATCGCTCTGCGGCTCCACGATGCTCTTACAGATCTGACCTTGGAATCTGCGCGCTGCGAAGCTGGGCCCCCCAGTTCTGTTTGTGGTGCGAAATAACCCCCATGGCCCATGAATAGTATAGATATATTTATATCTACCATAAAACCAAGTTCTTGGAGTTATGTTCATCAACTGTGCTAACTATGGGGCACCACCTTGTATTATGCTATGACCGAAAACCTAAAAAATTGTGTAAAACTAGCAACAGTTTGGTTTTTCACTCAGAAAAAAAGTGGATAGAACAAACACACATGAGGAACATGAGGATAAACACCAAGCAAGTATCTGTGGTTTCACCAGCAATAGGAATTTTCGCAACATAAATATGAATTATATGGGGGGGGTCCTAAATTGGGGGTACCCTAAAATGGATGATTTATAGAGAAAATCCTATTAAAATGGATGATAACTAGGGGTACCCCCAATGGAAACCCCCAAATATGAATGATATGAATGTGACGGGAACATCCAAAGACATTCATTGGAAATACCCTCTGGTAAACTAACAGTTTGGTATTGAAAATGGCTATGTGGAAATAGTTGATTTACCCAAAAAAATATGGTGGTTTGCTATGGAAAATCACTATCTTCAATAAGTATATCAGCTATCAATGAGCATAGAAATAGATAGAAATAGTGGATTTACCGATACCCATGAAAAATGGTGGATCTTTCCATCGTTTTTGGGACTGTTTGCCAGAGGGTAGGGATTCGGCTGGACCACTCGATGCCGACCGGACTCGCGGACCGGACTGGGGAATCCATGGTGGCATCCCCGTTGGGTTCCCAACGTTGAAGCAACGGGTGCCCTGCTTGACCATGATGATTATTGTTCATGATTGTTACTATAATAATCAGTAATAATAAGTATCATCATTAATCATTCATAATCATTGTTGTTCATCATTAATAATCATTGGTCATTAATCCAACCATGATGATTATTGTTCATTATTATTATTCCTCCCAATAGTTATTACTATTATTACTGATCAACCATACTAATAATAATAGTTAATGGGGGTCATTGATTATTAATAAACACTAATGAATTCAGGATGATTATTCATGACGGGATGTTGATGTTCATTAATAAGAGTCATTAATTATCAATTACGCTCATGATTCTTAATACTGCTTATCATTAATTAATATTGTTACTATAATAATCTGTAATAATAATCTGTAATATTGATATTATCATTCTGGTTGGTGGCTTTTCGCCTACCCCTCTGAAAAGTATGACTTCGTCAGTTGGGATGATTAAATTCTCAACTGAATGGAAAAAAACATGTTCCAAACCACCAACCAGTATTGGTTCTAAGAGTGGCTGAAGTATTCCCCATTTGGCTCGATGATTGCCCCAAAAAGAGTCCATTTAAAGGGAAGATGCTCAGTCAGCCATGATTACCAGAGGATATCAACCACAAATCTGTGGCCCCTGGGGAAGTTGTAAAGCCAAGGCACAAATTTCAGACCAGCTTCGCGTCACCTGGTGGTGGATCAACACCAAAATTCCCATGGCCTTTCGGAATGTGTTTCCATATTCATAGGCTATCGTGGGTTTGTCTGAAAATCGGGTAACCCGAAAACCAATCTTTCAAATAATTTTCTCTATTCAACTGGCTCAAACGGTGGGTATCCCTTTTTTTAAGACAAACCCACATCAGGTTTCTTTTAAAACAACATCTGAACAATGTTCAAAACCCGAAATGTCATTCCATTGTACTGCTTCAAAGGGATTCTCATAATGGATTATGATAATCCCCTATATATCCTATATGGCAGTTGATCTAAATTCCATTATCTGCAAACGGCAATTCTTTAGGAATTCAATACTTTCGCGAATCTTTCGCGAACCCCACGTTAATCTTTGGCGGGGGTCTCATATTGAAATCTTTCACTAAATCTTTTGGCAAAAAAATAATCCTCGCGAACTCAGAAAAAACTTTAGCGGGGTCTCATGTTGGAACCCTTGCGGCCTTTGTAATCGACAATCTCTACATGGACCTTTAGCTCGACAATCATTTGCATTGATTAGTATAACAAAGTATAACCCCATAAAAATCATCAAAACCATAATAAACATTAATAAACCATATTTAGCAGCCAGTCCCCTTTAATCATCTGTCCCTGCGTGAGTCCCCCTTCGCCATCTTCGCCTGCGTGTGCCAACACTGATGAAGTTGGTCCCAGGAAGCTCCCAGGGGAAGCAGGGCAGGTCCCGCAAACTTCACCAACCAGCAGAGCATGCCCATGTGGTTAGCGACCGCTCGCAAACAGGCCTGGCATCCGGCATGAAAAAGCATGGAGTGATCGATGGAATCGATGGATGATGCAAATGATGATGATCCTGGAAACAAAAAAAATCCAGTCAATTTTGGCTCAAATGAATTGAATATACCCAGGAGACCATTGATGGCGTTCTCTTAGCACCGCATCCATTTGTAAACATAGACAAACATCATGGTTGAGACATCTTAAGACTATCTATCCCCTTCTGTCTTTAAAGCCGGAACCATCAACGTTTGTTACCCCCATGCACCGCACACCTCCAGAAGGGTAAACAACTCCAACTCAAAGGGCTTGGACCAGTAGATGGGTTCAGCTGCTGCATGGGGCAACAAATCCTTCCGGGCACCGGTTTCGACTGGAAATCCATGCAGAAATGGAACAACTGATGACTGCAGGTGCGTCATGTGCTCGTGTTTGGTAATATGGTAAACCCAATGGCACCACTTGCCAAAATGATGGTGTATAAACCATCCGAAGTGGAGGTTTTATACGGTTTTATACTGACTTGGGTCTAACCATGCTCTCACCACTGGAAACACCATGTCCGAATGGCTATCCTGGATTTATCCTACAGTCTCCAAGATATGACCTATGACCTATGTGTCAATGATTTCATCGTTACAGCTCCATGGCTCACCAGTAAAAGGCATTGATTTTAAGGGACTCCCAGCCGCGAACAGCATCATGAGGTGTCACATTGATATCCAACTTAAAGATGACACATCTGTCCTTGTGAAAAATGGGGTGATTTCTACCCATATGCAACCCATGGTGCTGGAATATGCTTACCAACATTTGCCCGAACGTCCAAAATCACCGACAGTTTTGTAGGTTTTTATATACCAGCACCATGCGTTGCATATGGGATATTGATCGATCATCATACACCATTGTTATTATAGTTATAAACCAACTTAGCTAACGAACTGGGGCCCCTGTAGGAAACCTGAAGATTTTGAGGTCCTGGTCCCCTGGTCCCGATCAAAGGGATGCCACGCTGGAAAGTGTTACCCCTCCTTCAGGGCGTCTAAATCCTGTAGGAAGGCAGACCTTCAGCGTCAACGATGATAACGATGATGAAGTTTGAATTTCCATCCCATGAGATATTTATGGGATATTTCATGATATTTCTATGTGATACTCATGGGATATCATTACTGTTTTTTTATGCTTTGTAACAGGGAACCTGTCTTACCTGTCCAGGACGTGACGTTTGTTTTTCTGGGAGGCTATACCCGTACACCCGGCCTGGTAAACGTTTACAGAACTAAGGAAAATCACCATTTTTGATGGGTAAATCAACTATTTCTATGGCAATTTCCAATAGCTGTGTAACAAATTACCAGAGGGTAATTGTTTTTCATGGTGGTGAACCCATGGATATGAGGGGATTGTCCAAAAAGAATGGGTTGATCAGGACGTATCCCCAACTTATGGCAATGTTCATGAGGACGTGAAGCCTAGACCACAAAGGGGTAAGGATCGAAAAAACCAAAAAATAGGATCAAAAAAATATCCGAAAGAATCAAAAAATACTATCGGAATCGGGATCAAAAAAATATTATCATTATTATTATTAGTAGTAGTTGTTGATGTTGTAGTAGTAGTAGTAGCAGTAGTAGTAACAGTAGTAACAGTAGTAACAGTAGTAACAGTAGTAACAGTAATAATAGAAAGTAGTAGTAGTAGTAGTAGTAACAGTAATAATAGAAGTAGTACTAGCAGTAGCAGTAGCTGACATATTGTATGTTGAAAGCGTGGAAAGCTGTACAGTGCGGATTTAAGCAGCAAGATAAGAACAGCTGCAGGGAAATAAGGATTAGACTAATGGTTTACACAACACATGAGGATTATATAGGATTATGATGCAGTAGCCATAAGATACATAAGAAATAGTGAAGCGACTGTTAAATGGTGATGCAACCCGCACTGAAAAGAGGTTTCACCGTCCGTTTGACCATTAAAAACAGTGTTTTCTCTATTCCTACTCTGGGCATTCCGCAGTGCTTGTTGGCTGGGTCTGGCTCTGGGTCGTCCCACCTCGAGCTTTCCACCAGCTCAACCTCTTCTGGACGGAGGTGGCTGCCTGCAAGTTATGCAAGTAGCTGGCGGTTGTCTGACCAAGCTACTGGTTCTAGGTTTAAACAAATATCCCTGCTGTATAGAAACCATCCATTTGGGGGTACCCGCATGACTATGGAACCCCCCAAAAATAGCTGCCCCCCACCTTCACCAAGTGGAGTGGCTTCCTATACGGTAATTTTCTTTTTCCACATAGCTATCATAGCCCATTGATAGTTGATATACCTATCAAAGATAGTGAATTTCCATAGCAAACCACAATTTTTTGTGGGTAAATCATGGTAAATCAACTATAAATGGCCATTTTCAAGTTCGCAAACTCTTAGTTTACCAGAGGGTACCAACTGATTCAACACATTGCCTGCACAGGCTTCCAGGCACAGCTGCAGCCGGTCCATGGCGCGTCCAAGGCGCTGCCGGGCTTGTTTCGTGGCGCGCGTGGCAAGGAGCGTGTCCACCAGCAGCATCAAACCTCGAACAAGGTATCAAAACTGGGAAACTCAAGAACACGGGAAGATAGTTGGGAAAAAATGCATCTATATGTGTATACAATCTGTATATATATATATGTATATGTATATATGTATACATCATATACATAAGGTTGGCGTATAATCGCGTAAATGTGTATATATATATATATCCGCCGACCCCGGCCTTCGCCAAGGCCGGGGCGGCGCCTGGGACCACCGCAGGTGTGGATCCTGTCTTTCTTGAACCCTTGCCACGCCCAACGCTGCAGGCAAAAGCCACCACAAGGCCACAGCAATGGCTCAAGAGCACCCCACGGCCGCAGCAATGGCTTCTTTTATAGGCGTTCAAGGCTGCCGTTTGCCAGGCCTCAAACCCTCCAAACCTTCCAACTCCTCCAAAAGTTTGCCCAGCTCCGCAGGGAAAAGGTACCCCAACAAGCTCAACACGCGCCACGCCCGCAGGCAAAAGCCACCACAAGGCCACAGCAATGGCTCAAGGGCACCCCCCGGCCGCAGCAATGGCTTCTTATAGGCGTTCAAGGCTGCCGTTTGCCAGGCCTCAAAGCCTCCAAACCCTCCAAAAGTCCGCCCAGCTCCGCAGGCAAAAGGTACCCCAACAAGCCCAACACGCGCCACGCCCGCAGGCAAAAGCCACCACAAGGCCACAGCAATGGCTCAAGGGCACCCCACGGCCGCAGCAATGGCTTCTTATAGGCGTTTCAGGCTGCCGTTTGCCAGGCCTCAAACCCTCCAAACCCTCCAAACCCTCCAAAACGTCCGCCCAACTCCGCAGGCAAAAGGTACCCCAACAAGCTCAACGCGCGCCACGCCCGCAGGCAAAAGCCACCACAAGGCCACAGCAATGGCTCAAGGGCACCCCCCGGCCGCAGCAATGGCTTCTTATAGGCGTTCAAGGCTGCCGTTTGCCAGGCCTCAAACCCTCCAAACCCTCCAAACCCTCCAAACCCTCCAAAAGTCCGCCCAGCTCCGCAGGGAAAAGGTACCCCAACAAGCCCAACACGCGCCACTCCCGCACGCAAAAGCCACCACAAGGCCACAGCAATGGCTGAAGGGCACCCCCCGGCCGCAGCAATGGCTTCTTATAGGCGTTCAAGGCTGCCGTTTGCCAGGCCTCAAACCCTCCAAACCCTCCAACAAAAGTCCGCCCAGCTCCGCAGGGAAAAGGTACCCCAACAAGCTCAACACGCGCCACGCCCGCAGGCAAAAGCCACCACAAGGCCACAGCAATGGCTCAAGGGCACCCCCCGGCCGCAGCAATGGCTTCTTACACAGCCACTGCCTCACCCTTGCGCACCTGGCGGAGTTCAAGCTGATCCGTGTCCATTTGGCCGCAGGGTGCAACTTCTCGCTGCTTGAGAAGCAAACGGCCATATGTCTGTCTTGCTGTCCGTCTCCCTCTGTCTCTCTACAGTACCCCCCCTCCAATTAGGGGGGTCGGCGGCACCTGGGCGCTAGCCCATTTTATATATATGTATACAGTATGTATGGATGTAAACTGTTTATCCCTGAAAATGGGGTATAACCATGTATCATCCTAAAGCAACAATACATTGAAAGATCACCAATAGAAATTGGGATATAGCCATACATAGCCTTACCATACCTTACCTGTATGTATATCGACCGACTCTTCGTGAATCTAGGCAAATTTTAACGATTTCAAAATTTCAGATGCCAACTTGTTCCGCTGTTTCCGTAGGTAGGTTATTGACTTGGTGGGTACAAATCAGCAAACATTAAAAATAGTGACCCAATACATGGGATCATCATCCTATTTGAAGGGATTAAAAAATCGAAAATCTTGGAAACCCGCTAGAAACTGATGCCGAAGACTGTCTGCACCACCGTATTCCTGGGTAAACTGCCAACACCGGCTGGGGAGGACCGGGGAGTTCTTTGTTGGGAAACCAGTTGACAGGGGAACAAGAATCATGTGGTAAACCCAACAATGGGGATTTGTTTTGTGATTTTCTGGAATTTCATGCTGATAAAACCGGATGAGAAATGGATTTAATGGACATTTGAACAATATAGATTTAATCCATTTTAATGGATCAATATCCCAATAGATTAACGGATCAATATACCATGATTCATGATTTAATGGAATATAGTGGGATATCATGTGGTAAAGCCAATAATAATCATCAAATCCACCGACCATCATCCTATGGAAGTAGCCAGTTTCATAAACCCCAAAATGGGGATATGGTAGGCGTTTCCAAATCGGGGATATTGTATTCTTAACAAGTAGATACTGTAGGGGGACTTAAAAGTAGCAAACTGTATTTGTTGCTCATGGTTGGTGGCTCGGATAGCGCGTAATGTACCTAGTACTAATACATACTAATACCATTACTTCCTCATATATCCCTGAACCAGCAGCGAGACATGTGTGAAATATCCTCGTATGCCTGCCCTTGGAGGTTTCAGGCTCCGCAGGTGCTGCATATGAGTTCATTTCATCTACCTGTCATTGTGGACATTGGATATTACCTGCCCTGGCTGATTAGCACCCAATATCCATTTACGTGGGTTTGTCTGAAAAATTACGCCAAAAAAATCCCAGAGTTTGGAAAATCACTTCCCCTATGGCAATGGGAAGTATCTCCCGTTTTTGGAGCAAAATCATTCGACAAAGCTGGGGACGTCCAGTGGCACAGTGGTGAGGATGCGAATGACAATTATTCATAAAATCCAAATTGTACTCCAACCCCCGTTCAAAGCCCAGAAAAACCAGGGTGGATGAAATCCATTGTACTCCAATCCCCGTTCAAATTAACCCAGAAAAACCAGGGTGGATGTAGGGGAGTTACACTAATATTACACATATTGTGCGGGTGCTAAATCCACTGCGATCCGTTCATGTTCATGTTGCCCAATATTAGTCCCCACTGTGGTTCCTTAGACCTCCGTACAACCCCCAAGTATCCCCAAGTACAAATCAAAGTTGCTAAGAATATAAATTCAAATAGCCATTGACACTGGAACCATCAGTTCATGCCAGTTCCACAATAGCTACGCCCCATGCCAAGTGTCATCAGCGTTGGGAGCACGCTGGCCTGTTGCGGAAGAATGAGCCATGAATACAACTCCAGTCACTGGGCCATTTGCGCGTCTCTGAAAATTGGGTATCCACGTAAAAAGGTACCTTTACAGGAAAGTGATGATAAACCAATGGATTTAGGGCTACTCAATTCTCATCATTCTGAGTAGTGGTAGCGTTGTTCTTAGCAGTAGTACTATTGTTCCTGTGGGGACCAAAATCAAAATGTGCCTGACTCAAAATTGGGAACCCCGCAATCGAAATATCTAACCATGAGTTTGCCCACTTAAAATTACCCTCTGGTAAACTAACAGTTTGCTATTGAAAATGGCCAAGTCGAAATAGTGGATTTACCCATTAATAGCATGGTGATTTTCCAGTTCGCAAACTGTTAGTTTCCCAGAGGGTACCATCTGTGAATGGGGGTTCCAGCCACTTGGAATTTCAGATCTACCCTCTGGTAAACGTTTACATAACTAATTATGGAAAATCACCATTTTAAATGGATAAATCAACTATAAATGGCCATTTTAAATAGCAAACTGTTAGTTTACTAGGGGGTATCCTTGACTGAGATCCAGCCAGTTTCATTGAACCACGTGTCCAACTTACCTTCGGTACCCAACCCCCAATCAGCATCTGCACGTAAAACTCACTTGTGCATCCTTTTTTGGGGTTGCCCGGGTTTCCCCAACAACTTGGACCCACAAGCATATCCAGCATCATCCACCATCCATAAAACATCCTGAAAAAGTCATATTCAAGCATCAATTTCTTCTAAAACATAATACATACATCCTTTATCCACATTCAAACAAATGGTACCGGAGTCCTCTCAGTCCTGGTCAAACATGGGGTACCCTTCGGTCATCACACGCGGCAATGAGAAATCCTCTATCAATGGAGGTTTATAGCTGGGAAAATCATCGAACTGAGGTCATCAATGGTACCCTCTGGTAATGACTAACATAGCTATAGAAAATCACCATTTTCAATGGGAAAATTCACTATAAATATTATAGATGGCCATGTTCAATAGCTATGTTAGTATGTTTACCAGGCCAGGTAGATTTCCTCCAGCCAATAGCTATGATATTCCATTAAATTCCATTAAGTGGATTTCTTTTTCCCATTAGACCGCATGGAAAATCCCACTAAATCCCAAAATGATGATGGTCTATGGTGGATTTTCAGGTGATTTTTTCATCCCAGGGATGCCAATGATCAACATCCCATGGGCCCTATAGTTTAGATCATATCTCTATTATCTCTATATAGTCACAGAAAGTGATATTATTAATTACATCAAATACATGTTAGATGTATATATATATTATTGTATTATTATTGTATTATTGTATTATTAATGTATTATTATTGTATTTTTATTGTATTATTATTGTATTATCCTTTAACAAATCCCATTGCATCCCATGATATCTCATCATATCCCATATTTCACTTATTTCGACTCGCCATTTCGTCACGGCTCCCGAACGGTCGTCGTCACCTGCGTGTTGTCAGAGATGTTTCGCAGGACGCCGCTGCTGGGGATCATCGAGGCGGCAGCAAAGGCGGCCGTGAGGCCGAAGACCGGTGCCAAATCGCTGTTGGTGTGGAGGTACCTCGGACGAAGGATGTATGATGTCACGAAGCAGGGCGGAATATTGCGGAATTTTGGAAGAATTTTGGGGAACATATAGTTTATATTTGTTTATAGATAGATAGTATTATATATAATACGTATACATATTATACATATTATATATATAACATAATGGAACATATTATGAAATTCTTGGGGAGAATTTGGTTCATTTAGATGGTCTTATGGGCCTGGCTCAGTGAGGTTGCAAAGCTGGGATCAACCCAAGACTCTAAGATTTGAAGGGAAAACTATGTTGGATGATTACATTAACTGGCTTCCAAGTACTGCAGATGATGCGACACACGCAACAACATGGATTTGTCTAAAAATCAAGCATTGGTGCCATTAAGAGTGCCATTTTGGGACAAGCCAGCTCTGATAGGGAGCTATATATGATGTTTATGGTCATCCATCCGATACCATGGGAATCCAAACATCATGGGTTGATCGGTTGATCTAGTTTCATATTAATTCATGTTCATAGATTCATAACCATTCCCCTGTATGAGTTTATCATCAACTTTTGATCATGAACTTGGACGAGAAATCGCCATTTCTGGGTGCCCATCGCTTCAAAAATCCGCGGGGCTGGAAGAACGAAAAGGCGACCTGGGCAATGCGACCTTTGATGAGTACTTCGGGTGCAGTTGCGGTGAAAAAATGCTATAACTTTAACCATGGTTATAAGTTATTTTACCCCCATAAAATGGGATAGATCATGATAGATCCACTTATAACTGGAACTCCACTTTCAGCTCTGACTGATCTCTCGATATGGCTCCAACTTGCGTACCAACATGCCAAAGTTGCCGAAGACCATGGGTTTTCAAGCGGATACTAGCCAATCAACGTGGGGAACGTGGGGATATGGGGCATACTCGTGCGATATATATATATAACTATATATATATATATATATATATTATATATATATATATAATTGGACAACATTGGCTATCCATGGCCCCAAAATGGAAAAACCATGAAGGTGCGAAGCGTCAACTGGGATATTAAAAACTATTTGAATTCAAACAAAACACATCCAGTCGAATGGTTGACCAAAAAAAACAAGCAGTGAATTTGTGACCCAAACAACGAAGCGCAGCAGAAGTTCCCTGAAACTGGGTTAGCTATGCGAAGTTCACTGCTGTCATCGAGGGTGGATCTTTGGAGAATCATGGCTGAATCCAATCGTGGCGTCGTGGCGGGGGTGATTTTTGTCATATGCGAACCATGGTGCTGGAATATGAATCCCAACATTTGCCCGAACAAAATCACCCAAATGTAGAATCACCCAGTCATGTAGGTAAATATACCAGTACCATGGAGCATATGGGATAGGTTTGTCGCTTGTTTGATTTGAACCCGCAGGGTTTTTCGATTCTTGCTTGATGATCTTGATGATTTCGACATATTGGGAATCTGGAACATATTCATTGTGCCGCCCATTCTTCATGTTCGCTGTGTTGTGGAAATGCTATCCTAGTTGATTAGTTGATGAAGTGAATGTCCATAGGTCATGGATAGCGGTTTCCAAGGGCGAAAAATCAAGATTTCTTGATTGAGTGATATTAAATCAAACATGTTATCCCGGTTCACCAAAGAAACCGCGAAGTTCGACGATGTTCGACGATGACGAGTCAGGGTCACCAGGTTTTCCAGCCGAGAGGCTACCAGCCACATGGCCAAAGCAAAGAAAAAGATGTACACCACATGCCTCGACTCAGGTGGCGTTTGAAAGTCGCGGGATTTGACGGGGTGTTTTTTGAATCTGGGTGAAAGCTACCGTTGATGTTGAAAGATGGTACCCAGAAATCGACAAAACGATCGCAAAAAGATGCCGAAAAGTGTTCCACCGGGATGGTACTTCGATGATATTTTCCACATAGCTTCCAGGTGTCCAAGCAAGGGTAACCAAGGTTTGGCACTCTTGGTGTCTGTTGCAAACTGGCTGTTCATTCCAGCTTGGAGCGCATTGAATTTGAATGGTATGAAATCCCGGTATCCTACCTGTTTTCCTGAAATATGGTTCATCTCCATTGAAAAAAATAAAAAAAAAAAACATACTGGGCCGTTTCAAAAAAAAACAATCCCATTACTAAGCACTTAGACCTAACCACTGAATTGATTCTATATCCCAAGAACTCCCATCTCACTACAAACACATACAAAAACTGAAACAAAATGACTCAAAATCCCAACACAGAATTTATCCAAAATCCATCAACCTCCATCAATTTCTAAATTTCTAACAATACCCATCTATATTTACATATTATATAACATCTACATTCTACATATTTATATACATATATATCGCAACCGAATGTAACGAAAAATCCATTGAAATCCGTGGCAACTTCTCCCACCAAAAACCCAGGAGCTTCACTGCCAACGCCAGCTGCAGAATGGATCCCGCCACCTTCCCCAGCACCACACCGCTGAGGCGTCGCAAAGTGACGCTGGGCGTGGCACCGGTGTAGGTGTACACGATGACCTGTCTGTTGCGGAAAATATCTGGAGGAGGAAATGTTTTTTTGGGTCCAAATTCGAAAAATCATGGAAACAGTTTAGGGCGATTTGTTGGAAAATGATCTATACATGCTGGGTAACAGCATGGTATGGTGAACTTGTTCATCAGAAAAAATGCGGTGGATCATCCCATTAGCAAACCCATTTACTGGGGGTAATAATGAACATAATCCCATTTCTAAGTAGCCAATGTCATAAACCTCAAATTTGGGGATGGTTTACGGCATTGTTTATTTCATGTCTATCCACTATTTTCCTACTATTGTTCCATATTAATGTCCTACTTTTCCGGGTACCGCAATAAACAAAAAAGAAATTTGCCTTAGATTTTGACCCAAGGAACTGCAATGGTGGAGGCGGCATAACTGGAATAGCTGGGCATCACGTTCCAAATGCCAAGCCAACCAATGCTGAACGCCAAGCAAATCCTCGGCCAAAGATGTCCCAAAAAAAAGGATGCATGTAATGCATCTAGGTACGTCCGAAAATTGGACAAGGTTTGCGCCGCGGTGAGTCGGGCGGGTGGTCTGTATGTATGTATGTATGTATGTATGTATGTTTTTTGTTTTTTTTCTTGTTTTGTTTCTTTGTTTCTTTGTTTGTTTGTTTGTTTGTTTGATTGTTTGTTTGCTTGGTTGTTTGTTTGTTTGTTTGATTTTTTGTTTCTTTGTTTCTTTGTGTTGTTTTTTGTTTCTTTGTTTCTTTGTTTTTTCGTTTGGTTCTTTGTTTGACAAATTGTTTCTCTTTGATGGATTTTGTTGGTTGTTTTTTTGTCTGTTTCTTTGTTTGGTTCTTTGTTTGATTCTTTGCATGAATCTTTGTTTGATTGTTTCTTTGTTAGATTCTTTGATTGAATCTTCGTTTGGTTCTTTGTTTGATTCTTTGTTTGATTCTTTGTTTGTTTGTTTGATTGATACTTTGTTTGATACTTTGCATGAATCTTTGTTTCATTGTTTGATTTGTATTCGAACTGAAGTTCACGTGAAGTAGCGCAGCATCTTGTATGTATCCCCCCACCCCACCCGAAACCCCCACGATCAAAAGCAGGTAGCGTAACATCTCGTATTTTAGTGCGGGCCAGCGTCAACGTTAGTGCAATGCACTGAGAGTGCAAGACATGTGTGCAAGTACAAGATTTGTTTAATTAAGCAGCATACAATGATGTATGCTAGTTCAGCTTAACCTGACATAGCAAAACATCATCTATGTTAGGAGAAGTCAACATTACCTACCGTAGCCTTTCAGTAGCGCGGCATCACCAGCACCTTACAAGCAACGTCAAGTAACATTGCATCTTCTAAAGTCAGATGCTATTATATAAACGTTATTACACCCCCCAGACCCCCGCCCACCCGAAACCCCCCAAAACTAGAAAATTGTGCTTTCCTATGGGGTCGCTAACAGCGCCGCTAGCATAAATATACATGGTTACAAAAGTTGAAAAATATCAGTCTCACTGAAAATATACATATATATATATATGTATATATATATATCCGCAATCCGGCAATGCACTCAACAATATACCCTCTGACATGATGAGCTATGCGCATGCCTTTCAGCAATGCCTGGAGCTAGGGAAATATTCCTCATGGAAGGAGCGCGAGGCCTCTTTAACTGCGCAATAAACACCTGCCTGACCAAAGCAGAAACAATTGGCTAAAGTCAATTTGGAAAACGTTTCGCCATCACCTGCCTGACGCTTCACAACTTAATTCCATCTACGAAGCATTGGAAACCAGAAGGGTCATAGATGACAGAAACAGCCACCGCAGCAGGGCGCAAACACCGAAGCGTCGCAGGGACTGCATGCCACGCTGGACCATTCCGATCAAGCTGCCAGAAAGCAAAACAAAGCTCCAGTGTCTATATGACAAGATTGGTATGCTAGGGTTGAGCGGGTGAAGAAGCCTCCGGCTGGCTTCAATGAAGGGATGTGCGGGACTGCGGGCTCTGCACCAAATAACCCTGTGCAAAGATCTGCTCTGCTGTGTGATCAAGTTGTAAACCACTGATGTAGGTTGCCCATAGTCGAATGTCCACAATACAATGTAGAATCGTCCCAAAAGCCAACAGTAGCCTGTAGACTCGCTGAAATCGCACAAACGCTTGGCAATCTGCTTTGGCTGTTGGCTGCCCGGATGTCCTTTAGACTGATTCCTTGTAACTAGGCCTCAAATTCTTCTTTTCATAGTTGTCTGACTCGCGCGGGTTGCCTGTGTCGCCCATGTACCGTTGAGAAAACAAGAACGCGCCTTTTAATGTTGAAGTGTGTTGAATATTCTTGTTTCCTCTTATCCATGTCCCTCACGCGGGCTGCTCAAACTAATCAGTGAACTTCTGTCCTCTCATATCCTTTCATTTCCTGTCGCTGTTTTCCCTTTTCTCTTAATTTCCTCGTTTCTTTTCATTTACCTTCACTTCCTGTCATTTCCTTTCATGTCCTCCTGCTTTTTCTCATTTCCTCTCATTTCCTTTCGCTAGCTCTCATTTCATTTGTATTCCCTTTCATTTCTTTTCATTTCTGGTGTTTTTTCCTCTCATTTCCTTTCATGTCCTTCTCACTCCCCCGGATTTCATCTTATTTCTTGTAATTCCCTGGTTGTCTGACTCGCGCCTTGATTTTGGCTGACTCACCCCTTCCTGCTGTCTGACGCGCGCCAGTGTTGTCTGACTCATGCTGTATGACTCGCAGCCCTGTTGTCTGACACTGTCTTCGCCCCTGAAAATGGGGTATACCACCAATAGCCATTTGAATGGAAAAAATGACAATTAGCCAACAAGGGATAACCTAGTTTCAAACAAACCCAAATCAGAATTGACGAATCAACAACTGATTTCCGAGGTTTTGTTCAGGGGCTCATGGAATAGATCTTTGACACTTGAACGATATCCTGTGGTAATCAAACGTGGCAATGGGAAATCCTCTAATGGAGATCCTAATGGGAAAATCATCCAAACATGGGGGAGTTCCAATTGCTTTGTCTGATTACCGGAGGTTACTTCAAACATCTTCAAACTGCTTTCTTTTCGGCATCACACAACAGTTACCGGAGATCCAGCCCTGGATTTCAAGGGTCGAGATGGTGTTCCGCACCACGAATCTGGGGTGCACCGCTTCTGTGTCGTCCTTATGAAACAGCAGCGCCGACCACCAAGTCTTTGTTTTTACCTCAGGCTGCGGCCTTGCGAACCGTTGTCTTTTCTTAGGAGTCCCCATGCATGTCTGTCATTTCCACAAAAGCTGCTAGTGATAGTTAGTGAAGTTAGTGATAGTTTGTATGACTCCAGTTTTTTCGCAGTTCGCAAAGGTTTTGGGATGTTTTTGGGGTTCACGTCTGAGAAAACCTAAGTTCATGTCTCGTGTTTCTACTCGCCAACGGAGATCATATGGAACAGAATTTTTGGAGCCACTGCCAAGGACACACATTTCTCAGTAGAAAAATGGTTCAACAACATGAGTATGGTTCAGAAATGGGAACCAGTGAACTCACAAATTTGTGATTTCTTTATATGACCATCCACTTGTTGGAATGAACACCCCCACAAAATATGTTTGTTGAGTACATGATCATCCATTTGTTTCGGGTGTCAATAATTTTGAACCATACTCTCTTGGTTCATATTGGAATTCAGCCAAGGTTTGGTGGGGTCGGTTCCTGGGATTCCCTCATGTCATGGTTCCCCAAGGGAAAATCATTATAAAAGGAACAAGGTGGTGCCCAAGTTCGTTAGCCAAGTTGGTTTATAAGTCCAATATCTAGGGTTTGTGGGGGATATAACTATACTTAATGGGGATTATAAACCAACTTATAGCTAGGGGGCACCACCGTGAATGATCATGAGCTGATCAAATTCCGCACCATGCGCACCGTTGCGAAGATTTCGCCAAGTCGTAGGAAGGAACCCAACAAAATCTCTTACTTCTGTCAGTTCTAGCGTTAAAAACCTCGTCGGATTTCTAATCCACTAAAACAAACAAGACATGAAACTATATCATAAATATATCTATATATTACTATATATATAAATAAATCCGATATATCCATTGTAAACCCCACCTCGTTTTTTCATCACGGCGGCCCGGCGGCCCAACCGCCATCTGCCAAAGTTCCAACAACCGCCGGCAGGCGCGACAAGACCACTCCCCAGGCAGCACAGTGGGATGGCGCTGGACTTCCGCCACGGCCTGAACAGATCAATAGGAAACTCTAAAATCCTAGTAGAATAGAGGTAGATGTTTGATCATGTTTTTATCTGGGATTTTACTAAAAGTAATTGGTAAATAATGGTAAATGTAAAAAAAAATTACTTGGATCACCCTGTGGCACCTTGAAAACGTAATTTTTTGACCAAAAATGCGAACAGGTTGCAGGATATGTCGCAACCAAACCAGGGTTTATCATCTGCACAGGATGTTGAGTGTCGTTGTGTTTCCCCGAGAAAACGCAACTTGTCAGAGGCACACAGGGAAGAACTTCATGCCATTCGGCAAACTTCTCAACTTTATTCTTATCACTTCAAAGTCCCAGATTCAAGCCAGATTCGCCAGGAATGGGTCATATGGGTATGCTTGAATAGTGTACCCCTAAATCCATTGGTACCAGTAGTACCGCGCAAGGCGGTGGCGGAAGTTTCAGAAACAGGAAACCTATAGGAGAGGTTGGTTGTTGCGAATCACGGATGGCAGAGCGAATTTACTGAAAGACGGAAAGGTGGTTGGAGTTGTGTTTTTTTGGAATGGTTGCAATGGTTGCAGTGGTCACTGGTCGGTCACTTCACCCACAGCTGCTGGATGTGTAGTGTGGTGTAGCGCAGCTGTAGTTGTAATCGTAGTGTAGTGGAGTTGTAGTTGTGGTGTAGTGTAATTAGCGTAGGGTAGTTGCAGTTGCATTTGTGATGGTGTAATGAGTGTAGTGTAATGTTATGTAGGGTAGTGTAGTGTAGTCTAGTGTAGTGCAACCTAGCGTAGTTGTACTTGTAGCTGTAGTTGTCGTTAGTGTAGTGTTGTGTTGTGTAGTGTAGTGTGGTGTGGTGTGGTGCAGTGCGGTGTAGTGTAGTGTAGTGTAGTGTAGTATAAAATAATTCGAGTAGTGTAATGTAGTCGTTGTAGTTGCAGTTGTAGTTGTAGCTGTAGTTGTAGTGTAGTGTGGTTGAGTGTAGTGTAGTGTTGTGTGGTGAAGTGAAGTGGAGTGTGATGTAGTGTAGTGTAAGTAGCGTAGGGTAGTGTAATGTAGTGTAGTTGTAGTTGTAGCTGCTGTAGTTGTAGTTAGTGTAGTGTAGTTTACTGTAGTGTAGTGTAATTCAGTGTAGTGTAGCGTCGTGTAATGTAATGTAATTAGTGTAGTGTAGTGTAATGTAGTTGTAGTTGTAATTGTAGTTGTAGTTGTAGTGTAGTGTAGCGGAGTGGAGTGTAGTTTACTGTAGTGGTGGTTGTAGTTGAAACTGCTACAAAACCCTCACGTTTTTCTCACTTTTGGCAAGGTGCGGAATCCCTTGCGCCTGCCACGCAAAACAACATCTGAACGTCCAAAAGTGCTCCGTACCCCTCAGTTTTTTGCACTTTTGACTTGGAAATGTGCTTCGTGCCACAACAGCGTGCACTTTTTCGACATGTCAACTTCCAAAAGTGGTCCGAGCATGGTGCTTTCCGCATTTTGATTTGGACACGCACTTCGCGCCACAACAGCCTGCACTTTTTCGACATCACCACTTCCAAAAATGGTCCGACATTGGTGTGCGACGTCGGTGTAATTTGCACAATTTGACTTGGGAATGTGCTTCACGCCACAGCGGCGTGCACTTTTTCAATATCTCAACATCCAAAAGTGCTTCGAACCTGAAATGTTTTTAGCTTTTTCACTTTGGAAAAACAGTGTGTTTCGACTTTGCTACCTTTTCGCGCACCTGCATCTTCTTTCTTCTGACTCTTTCTCTGCTCTGATCTTCTCTCTTCCCCTCTTCTCTTCTCTGACTCTCCCCACCTCTGCTTTTTCATCTGCCCATATTGTCGGAAGTCTGACTTCCAAACTTCCTTCGATAATTACCCAATTTTGAGACACACTCAAAAACAATATATATATATATACATAGGTATATTTATATATATATATATAGAAAGATCGATCGATCGATCGATAGATAGATAGATAGGTAGATAGATAGATAGATAAATAGATAGGTAGATAGATAGGTAGATAGATAGATAGATAGGATTAGATAAGTAGATCGATAGACAGATAGATGTATATATATATGTGTGTGTATATGAACCATTCCCATGTCAGCCAATTAGAAGTAATTTACGGGCCCTGTTAGTTCCACCCCAGGATCATTCGAAAGCCACCTCGTTCACCTCCGCTAACACACCGGAGACCACCAAAATGAAGGCGGAGACTTCCGCCTTTCGATCCTGTGGGATCAGGAAAACTGAAGATATACAGAGATATTAATACATACTAAGATATATGTATATATGTATATATACATGTGTACCTGCCATATAAATATATATATATATATATCCGCATGATATCCCCGGTATGGTTGGTTAATTCATGTTAAATACCTCAAAATTGAAAATATACCAAACATCAGTGAAACAAACAAGATACACAATGACAAAAATAGATACTGTAAAAAACAAGATGCAGCCAACGAACCCGAATGCAGTCACGTAGAACACTATTGTGAAACAAGTTCTTTGAACAGTCTACATTGTCCCCTGTTACCGTACCAGTGCACTGTCTACTGTGGAATGCGGAAGAGGGTGGAGTGTAAAGTGTAGAGTGTAGAGTGTGGAGTGTAAAGTGTGGAGTGTAAAGTCTGGCTTCACCAAACAAAACTTGGTCGTAAGGCTCGCACCCGGGGTAAGTCGATATCCGTCGCGCCAGTGCCCCGCGCCGCCACCCGCAGCTGCGGAAGGGCGGCGCGGGGCCAACGGCTGCCACGACCATTCCTGCTGAATAACTCACACCGATGTGATGCAAACATATGCTACATCATCATTATCATCACGTGGACCTTCCAACGTGCAACAATTTTCAACTCTTGGTCCATTGACCTCAAAATCTCAACAAACTGGCCCAAAAAGTCAGAAATCCCAAGCGTGCAGAAATTATTGAACCTTTTGGAGGGTTGAGGCATCATCATCATCATCATCATCATCACCACCAGCCCCTGGTGCCTCCTTGTCTTCGGCAATGGGCTCCACGTGCCTCAAAGATGGAGCACATGTGAAATTACAATGCTGTAGCCCTTCACAAAACTTGATGGGTTCAACCCACAAAACAGCGAGGTATCCTAATACTGCCGGGAGATGAAGACAATTATATAATTGGAATTAGATATTGACTGACAACAGTACTGGCCAAATATCCACTTGAAATTACCCTTCGGGGAATGACATGGGTTAGTCTTCCCAAAAAATATCCTGTTACAAAACATTGCTCCAACAGAACCCGCAGAGTTCCGGACAAATCGTCCGGCGGTTGTTGCTCTTCTTCGTCTGTTCCTTCTTCTTCCACCTGCTGCTCGGTTTCTGCGTCCAACCACACCACTGGGCTCCCCTATGTAAAAGAAAATGAAGGGGGGACGTATTTCTGGCATTTCCCTTTATTTTGGCTAGTTTGGCAACAAAGTTTGTTTTTCTTGTTTTGGGATCAATTTTGCCAATAGGCTCGCAGATGTTTCCCGAAGCAATCGATTTGGGTACATTGGACCGTCTCGCCACAGTGTCGTTTCCTGAGAATTTGAAATTTGAAAACAGTTACCCTCATGCGGGGGACCAATCATGCTCCTCCATGGCAAAGGCACTGTCTGTGACGAAGAAGGCCATGACCTCGTTGGGCCAGAAGTGGGCGTGTGGTTGGTGGTAGGTTGTTGGCGGCTGAGAATCTTAGTCAGTTGTCCCGACTCCCCATCCTCCCTTCAAGTTGAGGGTTGACCAAACATATAGTTGCAATAAAAGGGTTGCTTATGACAAATTCGTTCCCAATGTCAGACTCGTGCATTTTGGTCCACACAGGGGGTAAAAAAACAATATATAAAAATCAACGCAACCAGAATCAGGAATCTTAGGAAACGGCAGATGTTCTTGTCTGCCAAATCCTTGTTCAGAGCCAACATTGATGCAAAGGGGATGATAGATTGCCCACTGTTTGTAAAAAAAAATACGGCAACTACATTTAAATATACGGACTTTGAAATATACGAACAAGTATTTTAGACTACCTCCGGGAAGGTTTTCCTTGGCCCGCCCGGCCATTTAAACATACGGAATCCAAATCATTTAAACATACGGTAACTACATTTAAAAATACGAACTTGTATTTCATACTACCTCCGGGGCCTCGCGGTCTGGCCCGCCCTCCACATATTTAAATGTCGTTACCGTAATATTAACTTCTCCTTGGAAGGGATGGAAACAGCTCAAGGGAGTCAGCTCTGGAGTCAAACGAAGCTTTACAACGCCGGAGGATGCAGGAGGTGGCAGCAGCAAAAAATGCTCTAATCTCTTTCTGGCTAGTTTCAACAAATCCCCAGGACACTTCCCGGTAAAGCGAAGGAAGAAGTCTTTGAAACCACCACCCACTGACTTCGGAAACCTGATTTCAGTCAACTTCAAGCGATGTAATGGGGATACAATGGGATGTGATGCTTTAAACTTTGAACGAGCCGGGTGAAACCGATCACAACCGAGATATAATGAAATTTGATGAAATTTGATTCTCCTTATACACCCCTCTTGAATCGTTAAACATGGCTTGATGGCTCCCTCATTATTCGCACATGTTTTTCCCATTCAAAAGTCTACTTTTGGTGGGTTTCCCAGCTAGCCACGTTTGAGGGCAAACGATGGAAACCATCAAGAAAATGCTGAGATCAACTGGAGACATGTCTCAATCCCAGGCACCAGGGAAGCTCGCATTTTCGACCCAGCAAAGACCTAAGGTCGGGGAAGCAGCTGGGGGTTCCACTGTGGAAAAACAAGTTGTAAAGTGTAGAGTGTGGAATGTGGAGTGTGAAGTGTAGAGTGGAGTGTAAAGTGTGGAGTGAGGAGTGTACAATGTAAAGCGTATGGTGTGGAGTATAGAGTGTAGAGTGTAAAGTGTAGAGTGTAAAGTGTAGAGTGTAAAGTGTAGAGTGCGGAGTGTGGAGTGTAAAGTGTGCAGTGAGGAGCGTGGAGCGTGTAAAGTGTAGAGTGTGGTGGAGTGTGGTGGAGTGTGGTGGAGTGTGGTTGAGTGTGGTTGAGTGTGGAGTGTGGAGTGTGGAGTGCGGGGTGTAAAGTAATGAGTGTGGAGTGTAAAGTGTGGAGTGTGAAGTGTGCAGTCGGTAAAGTGTAGAGTGTGGAGTGTAAAGTGTGGAGTGAGGAGTGTAGAGTGTAAAGTGTGCAGTGTACAGTGTAAAGTGTGGAGTGTAAAGTGTAAAGTGTGGAGTGTAAAGTGTGGAGTGTGGAGTGTAAAGTGTAAAGTGTGGAGTGCGGGGTGTAAAGTGTAAAGTGTGGAGTGTGGAGTGTAAAGTGGGGAGTGGGGAGTGGGGAGTGTGGAGTGTAGAGCCTGGAGTGTAGAGCAGGCAATGCGACACGTCTGAAGTGCTGCGCGTGCCACGCAAAATGACGACAGAGATCTCCAACATGCTGCGCCTGCCACGAAAACTGCAGCCCATCTTGTGAAAACGACGCAAAAGTACTGCACCTGCCACTCAAAACCACTTTCGACACGTTATCAAACAGGTTGGAATGTCACAAAGTTCTGCGCCTGCCACGCAAAACGACATGACAACCTGCTTGGAAACCTTTGAAAAGGAGAGATTTTGCAGCTTCCCCCATAGACACGGCGAGGCCACAGGAAAACCAGAGACTCGAGACGAGACATGTTGAAGCATCAAAACGAGCATTTCGTTCGAGACTTCCTCCAATTTTCACACATTGTAGCTTCAAAATTGACCTTTTCCTACGAGTTTTCTTAGGAACCTTTGCTACCTCAAAATCGATGTTTCGTGCGAGGCTTCCGTCAATTTATCTCACAAAATGCCACACCTGCCACGGAATTTCACCTTGTCGCCACTTGACGCAGCCCTGACAATGCGATTCGCAAAAACATCCAACACGACACGTCTAAAGTGCTGCGCCTGCCACGCAAAATGACGCTGGACACGTCCAGTGTGCTGCGCCTGCCACGAAAACTGCAACTCATCTTGCGAAAACGTCGCAAATATTGCGCCTGCCACACAAAACAACTTTCGACACGTTACAAAAGACGTCTGAATGTCACGAAGTGCCACGCTTGCCATGCGAAACGAAGCAACGCGACGTTTGTTGCGGACGGTTAGGCAACGTCGAGCGAACGCACCCTCAACCCCCAGGCCCCCAGAGTGAAACGGGAACCCTTGCTACGCATTCGGGAAAAATGATTGAGAGAAATAGGTGGAGGATATCTGTCAATCAACAAAAATGGGATGTTGAAACCATCAATCATCAATCCGCCACTAAAGAGCCTGTGTTTTAAGAGCCTTCTATACACTATTAGCTCTATACACCATCAGCAGCATATTATACACTGATAGTGTTTTCTTCACACTATTACAGTAGATTTCATTGTATTTGGGTCTGATTTCACAATGTGTGGGTCCTACACATGTAGTTTCCTCTATACACTATTAGTAGACACATTTTATCAATCCACCAGAAATGGGATAAGTTGTTAAACCAAATCAACCATCAATCCATATCAATCCAATCACTCCACTGTCCTTGTCCATCCACATCTGCGCCAGTCGCTTCTCGGCCTCGCGACACGCCTCCTCCGCTTCCACCGCTGCCTGCGCCGCTGCTGCCGCGGCCACTGAGGCGCTGGACGTGTCATCCGACGGCTCCGCCAGGAGGATGTCCAGCTTGGCGGCGGAGGCCTGAGGGGAAAAAGATGCTGGATATATTATATTAGGCATTCTCTCCAACACGCTTTCTTTACCTGATATTTGGATCTTATTTGGATTTCATTTGGATCTTATTCGGATCTTCCGAAACCACTTCCGAATGGACGCCAAACAAGGTCCAAATGATACCAAAACCCATGTCCAAGTGGTATACCAAAGGGTGCAAGACCACAGCAGGAGGAAACCCCTAAAGAGGGTAGTCAAAAACGTGATAGAGCAACCCCCTAATATATATATAATTACAATATACATATATATATATATGTGATAATATAAAATAATATAGTATGATATTATAAAATAATATAATTTAATATAATATAAGATATTATATTATACTATATATTACCGTATATTACAAAGGATTTGATGTGATCTTTTGGGAAGCCCAAACTTAGGAGTTAGGGGTCCTTAGGGAGTGTTGATTCATGCTGAGCATTCCCCGAAAACTCCAGACAAAAACATGGAGCTAGTAGAAATCTCGGAGGTCTGGGGACGAAAATCCTGGGAGGATGGAAAGATACATCATTGATTTGTAAAGTAAGATGCGTGATGAAAAAGCACAAATTAAACACATTGTCCGTGCCAAAAAGCAACCTTTGGGTTTCACTAAGTCCTATTTCGGGCAATTTAAGGTGTCCCAAAACCGCTAATTATGGTTGATCAGCCTTTTCCCTAAGAACTGGTTTTCATCTCTCCCTTTTTGGAGCCCGAAAATTTCACGGTCCTCACAGCACTGCTGGAGGCATTGGAAGAGCTCCGCGGAAATTTCCCCGCCAAAGGCTTCGGCAGATTGGTAGATGGCTGGCAGCCGTCGCAGGCATCGCTCCAGGCCTTGGGGAGCCAGCCCGAGGATGGCGGTGTCATCACTGGAAAATCGTTGAACTAACCAGGGCAGGAAAAAAATGTTGGTTATGTACGAATTAAGGGAAAAATCGTTGAACTAAATTGTGGATTCTCCAGGACCGTGGAATTGATTACCATGGAGAGTATTCATCTACAGCAAATTTGGAGTATTTGGAGCGGGAGAAGTACCCAGAAACCATGATTTTGCTGGTGAAAAAGCATCCGCTAGTCACCCAAATGGAGCATTTGGATGATGAAATTCACCTCCCATTTTTTTCGCACACGGATCCAAACTTAATTGCGCTTGATCCTTGTGGTTACCAAGTTGAAAAAGTAGTTGAAACCAGCAAGCCACTTTTAGGCACTTATCTATCCTCACTTTTGTCGTGTATATACACATTATATTTGGTTTGATTCCTTCTTTTGACGTTTTATGCCCACCGTCTTCCCAAAATCTCTGCTGGAAATCTTGCTGAAATCAATTTCACCATTTTTACTGGCGTTTGCCATGGAAAATCACAAGTTCTTATGGTTCATGTTTGATAGCAAACTGTTAAAAAAAGGTATATACAAATGTTCCTTTGTACTGGTTGGTTAAGAACGGATTTCTCATCATGGATTGTGATAATCCCCAAGACATTGGTCAAGAGAGCCCAATATCATCATCAACCAACAGGAATTTTGAATTCCTAAATAAATGAGTTAAATCAAATAATTCATCCCCATTCAATGAAACAGTTAAATCTACGCATCTTCAACACTTAAATATCCAATTGTCATTTTTTTCCAACCACTCCCCCATTTTCACCAGGTTTCACCATGCATTTCTTCCAAGTTGCTGCCGGGCAGAAGTTCCAAGCGCCTTCGCGTTTCGTCGTTCTGCCACAGCCACGCAAAACCCTCGAACTTCACCGAATCGACGCTACGCTCCAGCTCCTGGGGACGGCCATGCTACAAAGACCAAGAGGGGTTTTAACATGTCTTAACGCATAAAAAAGGGATGCAGAGACAAGAAAACATGGGATTTACTCATCAAATATGAATACTGGTTGAAAATGGTAAAAATAGATTATCAAGAAACCATGGTGCAACAAGCAATTAAATTGGTACGGATATAATCAGCAACAAATTTGGAAAAATTAACCAGCCAAGATAGGTCCATATTGACCGAAATTATATGGATCTAATGATCTAACCAAGTGAAACTTCAGCTACTTGGAAGGTTGGTCCCCCATAGCAGGCATCTCTGTCTATAGATAATGAATCGTGGAACTATGTGCAAACAACAAAGTATGAAGACGTATTGTTTATCTGCGGCATCCACTCATACCTTTACATAACTTTACTATTGTTGGTTTCATCCTACTCTATCCGACTCTAGTTTCCCATTCACATATACCAACGATAATGGTGATCGTTGGTTTATCGTCCAAGTCGCGTTCGTAACCCCATTTGTCCCATATATTTCTATCTTTATACTGATAGGTTGATAGGGGTTCTTCTAATAGGCTGTGATCCCAGTAGAGTATAACCCCCAATCATCAACCAACAGGGGTGGATTGCAGCCACTGCTCCCATATATCTTTATATTTACACATACCTTCCAATAAATTCGCAAAGACCCTGGCAAATAGGGTTTGGAATCAATTTGTGTTTGCATGGTGGTTTGGGTTGGTGGCTTGGAAGTCTGGGAATTCATCATTTTACCAGTAGTACCGCGCAAGGGCGGAAGTTTCAAAAATAGGAAACCTATAGGAGGTTGGTTGTTGTGAATCACGGATGGCAGTGTTTTCTGGAGTGGTTGCTTTGGTTGCAGTGGCCACCTCACCACAACTGCTGGATGTAGTGTGGTGTAGTGCAGTTGTAGTTGTAGTTGAGGTGTAGCTGTAGTTGTAGTGTAGTGGAGTTGCAGTTTTAAGTTGTAGTTGTAATGTAGTGTAATTAGTGTAGCGCAGTTGCAGTTGTAGTTGTGGTGTGGTGTAATTGATGTAGTGTATTATAGTGTACTGTCGTGTTGTGTACTGTAGCGTGGTATAGAGTAGTGTAGTCTAGTGTGTTGTCGTGTAAAGTAGTGCAGTTGTAGTTGTAGTGTAGTGTCGTGTAGTGCAATGCAGTGGTAGTTGCAGTTGTAGCGTAATGTAATGTAATTCGTGTAGTGTAGTGTTGTGTAATGTAGTGTAGTTGTAGTTGTAGTTGTATCTGTAGCTGCAATGTCCTGCAGTTAATTAGTGTGTTGTGGTGTAACGTAGTGTACCAGCAATCGTAGTTGCAGCTGTGGTGGTGGTAGTAGTAGTAGCAGCAGTAGTAGTAGTAGTAGCAGTAGTAGTAGTAGTCGTCGTAGTAGTAGTAGAAGTAGTAGTAGTAGTAGAAGTAGTAGTAGTAGTAGTAATAGAGTAGTAGTAGCAGCAGTAGTAGTAGTAGTAGAGGTAGAGGTAGTAGTAGTTGCTGTCGTAGTAGTTATAGTGTAATTTGTGTAGTGTAGTGTAAGTATTGTTGTCGTGTAGCGTAATATATTTGCACTTGTAGTTGTAGTAGTGGTAGTAGTGTAGTGTAGTGGTACTTGTAGTTGCAGTTGTAGTTGTCTCTCTATCTATCTGTCTATCTGCAAGCTTGAAAACGAAGCTATTCTGCGAGACTTCCCCAGCTTTTGAACTTGACAACATCAAAAACGCAGCAATTCAGCGAGACTTCCTCATTTTTTGAACTTGACAACGTCAAAAACGAAGCAATTCTGCGAGACTTCCTCATTTTTTGAAGTTGACAACATCAAAAAACGAAGCAATTCAGCGAGACTTCCTTCAAAAATGGAAAGTTGAGTGCAGAGCTGACGGCCTCGTACCAATGCGTTTTGCGATTTTTCCACTCCACCTGTCTAAAGTACTGCGCTTGCTACGAAAAAGTGATGCCAGGTCATACGAAGTGCTGCACCTGTCACGCAAAATCATCCCAGCAAACCTGAGGATCTGATGCTCCAAAATGCAACCCCTCTCAGGAAATCAGCGACGGACGGACCTCGTAACAGCTCTGATGAACAATCACGCACATATGTTTAAAGTGATTAATAGTTATTCACTTTAACTTAAGTAGTTTTTATCATTTATTTTGCAGAAACCTCTGATTTCCCAGACTTCCAAACCACCAACCCAAACCACCATGTGGGGGTTTGTAAAAACCCCGAGCCCTTTCAAATGGTTTTTCCAGACGTTATCGGTTTTTTTTCCTCTTATCGTTTTTCCAAGCGCTGGCTTCAGAAGTTGATCAAAGAATTCACATGAGCGAGGAAAGGGGAAAGGAAAAGGAAAGGGAAAGGAAAAAGACAGCAAAAGGAAAAGGAAAAGAAAAGGAACGGAAAAGGAAACGAAAAAGGAAAGGAAAAAGGAAAGGAAACAGGACAGGAAAAAGGAAAGGAGAAGGAAAAGGAAGAGTAAAGAAAGAGTAAAGGAAGAGACAGAAGAAAGGAAAGGAAAGGGAGAGGAAAGGGAGCAGTGTCTCATACGGACAATTTTTGATGCCAAAAGTTATCGTTTTCTCTATCGTTTTGTTATCGTTCGTGAATCCTATGTGTGTTCCTTTTTTCTGGCAATCATCAAAAAAGCAGTGTAGCGACCACCTACCAGGCACCTTCCTTGTGCAGAATCTGCTCCATTACGACAACAAACAGTGAAAGGAAGAGACCAAGAGCACTAAATAGCCGAAGAATGATGGAAAAATCAAGAGCTTTGGATTTCAAGAGTCTGGACACAAATCATTATATAACCAACGTTATCGTTTTTTCCTCTTATCGTTTTTTCGAGTGAAAGCTAAAAATGGCTCATGGGGGATCATGGAAGACGAAACGAATAGGCGCGGGGTTTAAACACACTCCCATGTAAGTGTAGCCTGATGGAAGATGTGCGTTTCCGCAAAAATTCCTAACATTTTCAGGGTCAAACTGTTGATTTACTGGGGCATATATATATATACCATCATTGAAAACTTCAGGTGAGCAGTGTAATCCCTCTGTCATTCCATTTAATCCTGGTTGGTTAAGACTGGGATTTCCCTATTGGGTTCTTGTAATCCCCAATTTTTTGGATTCTTATAATCCCCTGTAATCCATAGCATAATCCCCAGTACCCTCTGGTAAATCAACGTAAGTAGTATAATCCCCGAAGGAATCAACGAAAGCATCGTCCTTCAAGATCTTCTCGGCCGTCTCCAGGGTGGCGCGGGCCTTCAGCCGCAGCACTTCCTCCAGGCTGTCGGGCAAACGTCTCCTAAGTTCGGCTGGTAAACAGTCCCAAAAAACGAAATGGCCATGTTCAATAGTTATGCTAAATTACCAAAGGGTATATATATATATATGCGTGTGTACTGTATACATATATATATATATACACATACACCTATATATAATAGCTGGTATAGTGATTGTTGTCATCATTGTTATGATCAATATTGATAAATTCTAGATATCAATGGTATATGAAAGTTTATTCTTGAATTGATAGAATGATAGATATGGAGGTTTGGACAAAATGGGGGCTACCTCAAATCAGCCAAGTCATTGACGACCATGGCGATATGGGGATCCCCCATTTTAAGAAACCCCAGATGTCATCATCAACAGCAACAGCATATGATCATATGCAGCGTAGTGCTCATTGTGGTTACGACTGGATGGAATAGATGCTGGGATAAAAAAAAAATGGTGGTTATTTGGAGCATTATCTGAATACAATGTGCATATGCATAGGTTTTTGCATGTAGGTATGCAGAAAATAGTGACATAGTGCAGTACATATTGCATATTGCATTCATCTTCACATGTCCATATGTACTGATATGTCCCTCTATATATATATATACTGGTTGGTGGTATACCTACCCCTCTGAAAAATATGAAAGTCAGTTGGGATGATGACATTCCCAACCAGAATCACCATTTATCATTATTAACCGTTATGAAAACCATTATTAACCCATTACAATCCCCATTATATAATCATCACTAATCACCATTAAATCACCATTAAATCATCAGGTATGCCTTGACATAGAAACACAGGTATGTACATGAACACCTGGGCCAAGCCATATGGGTTGGTGCTTTTTCGATGAAGATGGGGGATACAAAACGGGCTTTTTCAAAAATAGGAACACAGTCGGGTGACAAAACCATCACGTTTACCCTCTGGTAAACATACAAAAAACTATTGGACATTGCCATTTATAGTGAGTTTTCCCATTAAAAAATGGTGATTGTCCATAGTTATGTTAGTTTAGCAGAGGGTACTTAGCTACCTTAGTTTTAGACAAAGCCATATTTGAAACCACCGTCCAGATTAGCGTTCATCCTTCTTTGACATGGGTTGGTCTGAACATGCTGGGCAACCCTCCAGTCAAAAATACAATATTTCTAGACCTCTATATGTATCAGCGTTGTTTTCTCCATTCAATATCCCATGATATATCCACTATACTCGGCCAAAAAAACACGTATCCATGAATACGGTGTTATATATGTACCATTCATATCCCACTGGCATCCCATCAATCTATTTTTATCCATACATATCCATGAAAATCCATTAATCCATGTATAAGTCAATATCCGGACAAATACATCTTGAATACAGTACGTGCATCCCATTCTACCACCATATACCGTGACTATACCCCATGATATCCTCATGATATCCTCAAAAATTTATTGTACCCCAATCATATGCACACAAAAACGAACCAAACAAAACTTAATTGTATATGCACTTCGAAACCAGAACCTAATAACATGTGTGTGTGTGTAAATACCTATATATATATATATGTGTGTGTGTAAATGAAACTCCACATATAAAAATAAACAAGTCGAAAAACATAAATCGTTGTGATTGTGTACATCTATAAATACTGTATAAATATACAAATCCACACACATGAAATTTAATTCATCAGCATGCTATGCCAAGTGTCACCAGCACCTTGGTCACTTCTGTCGCTTCCTTGCCCCAACTGGTCGCGGCCGCGGTGCCGGTGAAGCGCCGCTTGGGAACGAAGAAACACGCCAGGGCCATGAAGGACGCCAAACCTATCATCTGCAGATAGTCCTCAGATCCATTGGACTTTGGATGAAATTGGGGAAGTTGGAAATTTGTTGTCTTGGGATAGGAATGGCCAGTGTACTTGTTGGATCCAGTACTTGTGCCAATTTAATGGGAACCAGTACTTGTTGGCCATTCTAATGGAAACACTACTTGTGTCTTGGGCGAAAACAAGTACTTGAGCGAAATGCACCTGAATGGTCTACTTTTGAAGAGTGATTCTATGGCGCATGATTGGGACGCAGCTTCAACTATTGGAGGAATTGGTCATCAATGATTCATAATGTGAGGTTGGGGTGGGGTTGGGGTGCTTCTAGTAGCAGTAGCCGGAGCATAGGAGTAGCAGGAGTAGCAGGAGTAGTGGGAGTAGCGGGAGGGGAGTAGTGTGCAAATGTGCCAAATTTGCAGGTGCAGATGACCCTTACCAATGGACCATTTCCAGGTATTTCGAAGAAGAGTGAGGTGAACATTTGGGATGCAGTACTGATATCATTTCATCCCAAAAATAAATCATCTCCGAATACGAATTCCTTGAGAAAATTTAAAGGTTGATATAGATATAGATGTAAATGTAGATGTAGAGTGATATGGATTGGTGTGGAAGGTCAACCCAAAAAATTGATATCTCCAAATATTCCTCAAACTGGGTTGAACATGTGGGATTCAGATGCAGAAACAGATATATTATACTATCTATAATTTTGTGTATATATACATATAGAATGATAGGGATTCCTGGGAAAATTGGAAATTTGATACAGACAGCGAGGTGAACACTCGGGATAGAATGATCGTGGATGACATATTCCAACCAATGGATCATCACCAGTTATCCTGGCCAAAGGTTGATGTCATCAACAAGAGAAACCAACGAACCTGAATGCAGTCATGTAAAACACTTTTGTGAAACAAACTATTTCAACAGTCTTGTAACTTTTACACTCTACACTCTACACTTAACACTCGACACTCTGCAATGCACACTTTTCACTCCACACTCTACACTTTACTTTACAGTGCGCACTCTACACTTTACTTTTTACACTCCGGCTACACTTGACAACCCACACTCTCCGCTCTACACTTTGCGCTTTACACTCCACACACTACACTTTACACTCTACACTTTACACTCCACGCTCTACACCTTAGATTCCACACTCTAAACTTTACACTCCACATACTACACTTTGCACTCCACACTCTTCGCTCTACACTTTACACTCCAGACTTTACACTCCACACACAGGTGACTCCATACTCTAGACTGCACGTTACACTCCACAGTCTACACTATACACTTTACACTCTACAGTCCATACTCTACACCCTGCACTCTACACTTCACACTGTACACTCCGCACTCGACACTTTACACTCAACACTGTGCACTCTAGACTGCGCCTGCAACGCAAAATAGCATTCCACGCTGCGGCTGCGAGGCAAAATGACACTCTCACGATGTCCCACGCCTGCCACGCCATTTGCATGTTGTCAGCGCCGGACGCAGCACTGACAATGCGATTCGCACAAAACATGCAACACGACACGTCTAAAATGTTGCACCTGCCACACAAAATGCACCTCGTCTTATGGCACCATCTCACAAGTATTGCGCCTGTCACACCGAGACGTTGGACACGTCATGAAACATGTCACGAAGCGCCACGCCTGCCACACGCAAACGATGTTGCGCGACGTTTGAAACCTCCAACAGTACGGCGGCAAACATAAAAGCAGCGTAGAGCACGCCTCAATCCCCAGACCCCCAAAGTAAAACGAGAACACTTCGCTACGCATTCGGGAAAAAAGGAGGAAAGATTTTTCTGGAAAGTACATCATCTTCTATCAACAAGGTATTTCTTAAGATGAGAATATGATTCATCCAAAACAAATGGAGGAACACATCCTGAAGATAGGACATGTCCACGTATTCTTGAAAACAACAAGGCGATGATGTCAACAAGCTGATGGGAAAGTCAACATACTGCCACAAGTGGGCAAGTCGATGAAACATGGGAAGACATCCCGAATTTCTGAAACTTGGGATTGGATGTCAACCATTGTCAGCCCACAAAAAACTGCAGAGAACTGAATAATCTTGAACCTCCGAGATATTTTTGAAGGAATGCGATCGATCCAAGAAAATGGAAAGATGATCTAACAACAGGCAAAAGATCCAAACAGTTTGCATTTGATTTCTGATCTCTTCACTGAACATGGGAATTTCCTCAGCCTCTACCGCCTCTCCCAAAATTGGAACGTGTCAACAGTGAAGTTGACACGAGATTTCAGCAGGATACATCTGCAAAATTTACTTTAAATTCAAAACGGTTTCCTCGTCTTAAATCTACTTTTCCCCTCTGATTAAATCTTCAGTCCTCGCCTCGTTACATTCAAAACGGATTTCAGCCCTCGTCCCATTTCTTTCTCGACCGCAAGCCATTCGAACTAGTCCTCTGCCTCCTTTTGGGTTGAACTTTTTTGAATTATCTTTGTCGTCGTTGCAGCAACGCTCTGGGCTCCAGAGGCTTGGGGATGCTGAAAAAACTTTTCAGGGCCTAAAAAGTTTTTTCCTGTTTCCGAGATGCCTCTTTTACAAGCGGATTTGCAGGGGCTCGATTCCCCCCAAATTCGACCCCAGAGAAGAGAAGCTGCAGCAGCAGCACCAAGATACCCCGCTACACCTCAAGCTTTAGCAATTTTAGAATCTAGTCGCGCTACCTGGGAAAGGTGAATAAGAACTATTGACCAAAATTTCAGGGTTCCCTAGGGTTCTTATTTCAATTAGCTGGTAGACAGAGTTGAATCCAGCAATCCAGCCCCTGAGGTTCTTAATGCAGTGGGTTCTTAAACAGTGGTTTCACTGTAGAACAAATACGGAAGTCCTGGAACAACCGGGCATGCCACCACAGGGCACTGACTGAATTACGATAAAAAAAACTTTTCGGGCTCCAGAAAGTTTTTTTTCACGGGTCTGAATGCACCCTTAATTTTCATTAATTTTCTATTTTTTTCACTCTGATGGGAACAAAAAAAACTTTCTGGAGCCCGAAAAGTTTTTTTTCACTCGTTGCACATGCTTTGAAAGCAATTTCTGCCCACCTCGTTTTCTGAATTTAATTAATTCACCTCGCTTAAATTGCAAAGATTCACCTCGTACCTCGTCAGCCCTCGCTCTAAATTGTGGAGATACATGATACAATCATATACAATCCAAGAACAGGAGTGGACATGTCCTACTTTCCCAGCTAGCCATGTTTGATTACCTGCAAGGTATTCCTCCAGCAAAAATGATCCTTTCAGAACTGCACTGGCTGTTCATCACCCACTGGAGCAAATAGTTTGTCTGAAACCCAACCATTCTTGGTGATATATCATCCCAATGATCCAACATAGACTGATCAAACCGTTACATCCTTACAGGCTTATCCCAAGTTGATAGATGCTTAGTGATAAACATCAGATGTACATCTATTGTCCCATATCTTCTCATGTCATATGAGCAGTGCCAAAATCCCACAGGTCATTCCATTTAATCCTGCTTGGTTACTAGAGATTCCCCTATTGGATTATTACAATCCCCAGTATATAAGTTTATTTAAGGTAGTGTAATCCCCTAGAATCATCAACCAACCAGGGTTTTGAACACTGCTCATATGGCCATGATAATATATTATCATTATATGAAGGTTTCCGTAGTCATGGGGGTCCCCAATAGCTGGATAGTTTATTTCATGGAAAATCCATCTATAAATGGATGATAACTGGGGGTACCCCTATGACTTGTCGGAAACCTCCTTATGCCTATCATATCCCATGCAGCTTGGTAGATCCCTTTAGAGGTGAAGCTTCTGTGGCATAGGTGGGCTCCGTCGAAAAGCCGTCGGTTTCAGGGTCCACAAAAGTCATCATAAAGCTCACGTGGGTTCTGAGGATTGCAGTGAAGTGCAGCAAAAACATCTGGAAATCTCATGAGGCTTCGATAGATGTCAGGCTTTTTCTTTGTTTTCATGAAAGTTCATGGCTTTGTTCGATGAATTGGTGAATGGGATTTTTTGTTGGATTTCATGGGATTCACTGACAAACTATGGAGATACCAACCATCATGGGCCATCATGGGTCGATGATGTGAGGATGTCCATTGGGGGTAAAAATCACGAAATTCGTTGGATTCCCCGAAGTGCTTGTTGGACACTCGTCGATTCAACATTGGTTTTTCGCCATCCCAAGCTTACTGGTGCGTTTTACGCAGGGGATTTTCGGGAATGATCCACAATAACTATTAATAATCATCCCAGCAACCCCCATGCCCACCCATTCCCTACTAAGCACCAGTAAGCAAGAATTGGTCTTTCAAGGATCATTTTGTTGACGAGCCTTTTGGGAAGCGAATCGTCCACATCCTGGTTTTTTTGCCTCCAAAAATAGGATATAAATCAGCAGGCATGGGCCGGCAAATCTGAGTAGGATCAAGACACACGGAAGTTGAATTGAGTTACCCTCTGGTAGACTAACATAACTATGGAAAATCACCATTGTTTGTGGGCAAATCAACTATAAATGGCCATTTCCAAAGCTATGTTAATTAGTTTACCAGAGGGTAACTCTACTTTAGCCACTTCACCTCATTTGCTGTCGAGCAACGACAAGGCGAAGATCCGAGGGTTGGAATGGAAGGGCAACGACAAACACAGCACCACGAAGAGGGTGAAGTCAACAGCCACCTGGCGTTGGGAAGAGATCTAGGACTCTTCAAATCCCTTCGGAAAATCGCTGGGACCATATGGAGGTGTCCGTTTTGTCATAGGGGTACCCAGGTACCCCCAGCTATCATCCATTTTAGTAGGGTTGTCAATTATAAACCCATCCAGCTATTAGGGATCCCCATTTATGGAAACCTCCATATGTTTGACACATGTGTAAAAAACACTAAGTGCGTGGGTGGTCATGCAATCCCTGGCCATTTCATGACAAAGCCTGTTGGCTAGTGTGTTGTCTAGAAAAGAAGCTTTTGGCCCGGGAAATACTCCCAACCATATCCCAGTGGACTTTCACGTTGAAACCAACTTCACCTAATTGAACGAAGTGAAAAGTCTCAGAATGTCACAAGAATCTTCAGCTTTCCTGCAGCCTCCCCTTTCACATCATTTTCCCCCCTTCCCAAACTCCAAAAGGCCAAACAAATTTGGGCCCGGGCACTATGAAAAAGGAGAGAGATCCCAACCAGGTGAGTTTATCTAACCAAATGTTCATAAAGCAATGAGCTTTCTGATCCGCCAATCGCCGCACGCCATTGTTGCAGAGTGGTAACCAGCCACTGATCACCACACCCTGCGAATCCGTCTCCGTGCTGTGACTATAGGCACCACCGCCGAGGAGGAAGCCAAGGGCATTGTTCAGTAACATCACATTCCTCAGCGGAGGAATGAAAGTGGCCCAAACACGTGGGGATTCCATCATTTACAGGGATATGATATACGTATATATCTGGTTGGTGGTTTTAACCATCTTGAAAAATATTAGTCAATGGGAAGGATTATCCCATATATTATGGAAAATAAAAGCCATGTTTGAAACCACCAACCAGATATAGTTATCACATGATTAATATAATGATGAGGAATGATGATCAACCAATCAACCAAGCCAGCCCCAACTGATTGAATCATACCAGTTGCTCAGTTTCTCACATTGCAATGGCGACTTGGGGCCCCCCAATCTCTTCTAGTCCAACCAAAAACCAAGGGATCAGTGGAAACATGATGTGACCTCTGGTGATATGGCAATGACAATCCACAGGTCCCAAGACCCCAAATACAAGGGGGAAAACTGGGTAGATAGAGAGCTAAAATGACCCGTTTCCCCTCTTTGTGGATATCATTTACCTACAATAAGTTGGAGCAACCAGTGAGTCCAGCACTAGTAGGTGATTTTTGCCAGGGAAATTGGTGATCCCCCAGCCAACCATGTGGTTTTTTCCACCCAGTTTTACGTTAGTTTACTATCCCAATTGTGTCATCTTGTGTCAGTGATGTTCCCACTGGTGTGGGTGTCTGCAAATGGTGTATACTTCAAAAATGGCAATGTTTATAAGGAAAATGCTGATTAACCAAGTCATATCAATCTACCCGTAGATCTTGAAGTATGTATCCCCCATGGACAAATCCAATGTGGTGTACTATGTTTTTCTTATGCCCATTTTCCCCGAAGATCTCGGCTCTTTCTTATCACTGCCCAGCTTCAAGTAGGCCAAGATGGTTCCCACCAAGCCCTGCAGGGTGAACTTCACCGAGCTCCCAAGGTCCACATAGACCGAAAAAATGAATTGTAGCAACATGGTGCCCCACAAGTTCAGGAAGGCACTGGGCCGGGCCTCGGATGATGGAGCATCAACCACCCCATAGGGGAAAAATGGGAAAAATGGTCTCTTTTTTAGTTGAAGATGAAATGGGGTACAGTACCCAATGTTTAAACAAATGCACTTAAGGCAAGTCAAATGCAGGCCAAATGCTGCCCGGCCACCTGTGATTCCAGCTGAAGCACCCAAACAGACGGACAAAAGCAAAGAAACGGGATATGAAAATCCCAGAAAGAAAAAAAATTACATGAATCTTTTGCTGGAGATTGGCCCATTTACCCTTTGGTAATCAAACATGGCAATGGAAAGCCCCCAGTTATAGAACCATTACAACATTTGGATTTTCAATTGTGACGTTTGAGAACAGTGGAGGGTAAATAGGTTCTACCCCCCAGTAAGCTAACATAGCTATGAAACATGGACCATACATTCATATAATTCATCGAAAGAAGTTTAGAAGTCAAACCTCCGACAATATGGACATATGGAAAGGCAGATGTGGGAAGAGTCAGAGAAGAGAAGATCAGAGAAGAGAAATGAAAGAAGATGCATGTGCGCGAAAAGGTAGGAAAGTCGCGAAACACTGTGTTTTTCCAATGATTTGTGGCTCCGGAGGGTCGAAAAGTAGGCTCGCCAAAGCGGCAGGTGCGGAGCCACCTGGCCAAATGAGAGATGAAAAATTGGACGCCGTTGTGGCGCGAAGCACATTTCGAAGTCAAAAGTGTTAAAAACTGACGGTCTCGGACCACTTTTGGAAGCTCAGATGTCGTTTCGCGTGGCAGGCGCAAGGGATTGTGCACCTTTGACCAAATGTGAGGGTTTTGTAGCAATTGCAAAAACGATGGCAGACGTGGGACATTTGAAGAGGATCTGGAAAGATGCAGTTCGCGTGGCAGGCGCAGTACAAGAGACATGCTCATCAGAGATATTAGGAAGTCTGGCCGCAACATGCCGCAACTACAACTACACCTACAACCACAACCACAACTACGTTACACTACACTAATTACACTACATTAACCTGCAGCTACAACTACAACTACGCTACTTGACACTACAATACACTAGAATACACTGACACTACACTATACTACAATACAGTACGCTGACACTACGCTATACTACACTACAGTACATTACACCACACTACACTACACTACACTACACTACATTACACTACACTAATTAAACATAATTAAACCACACCACAACTACTACTGCACTACAACTACAACTACACTACACTGCAACTACAACTCCACGACACTACAACTACAACTACAACTGCACTACACCACTCTACATCCAGAAGTTGTGGGTGAGGTGACCAGTGCAACCATTGCAACCACTTCAAAAAACACAACTCCAACCACCTTTCGGTCCGCCAGTGGATTCGCTCTGCCATCCATGCATCACAACTACTCACCTCTCCTATAGGTTTCTATCTTTAGAACTTCCCCCACCGCCTTGTGCGGTACTGGTAGATTATCGATCTATTAAGATTCTGTTTTTCCGGAGTTTTCTCTTACTTTAGAGGGCAAATAGGGCTTTCTTTTTTGTGGGTGATCCCCAGTCGTCACCATGGCTTTGATCCAATTTGGATGATCAGAAAAACCCTGTTAGCAGCAACATTGGGCTTGTTTCAGCGTAAAAATGTCACCTGATCACGAGAAAACCCCCTGATTATGTGTATATATATATATATACCCGTTGCAATCCATGATATACCCATGACATACCCATGAAAATTGCCATCTTCTGATCGCTTCACCCATTTTCCAAAGTCTGGATCCTGTCCCTGTCGCAAGGTGAGGCTTCCCATGATCTGCATCCGTGCCAAGCTGCTGGAATACAATGAGGCCCCCCCCAATTCCAGGAGATTTTACAGAGCGGAGTCTTTTGCTGGTAGTCCACGCAGTGCACCAAATCCAGGTTGCGGCACCACGTGTGGTTCATGTATTCCTCTGGAACGAAAATGGTCAACTTACATGGGATTCATGGGATTTTAACCAAGAATTTGTATGGCAATATCGTGAGGACATATATATATATATGCATATATATATATATATTCATATACATATACCTCTATATATATACAATATAATATATATATATATACATATATATACATATATATATACATATATATATATATATACATATATATACATATACATATATATATATACATATATATATACATATACATATATATATATATACATATATATATATACATATATATATATATATATATACATATAGGGCGAAAGCTGGGGGTTCCCCGGAAGCCAATTGCAATTTAATTGTATGGATATGGAAAATGTTGATTTTATACTGTGTTTTACAGTGTTTTTTGCCTTCCCTTGAAAGTGTTCCATCAGTGAAAGTATCAATGTCGGCGCGGATAAACTCGGAGTTTGTCCGCGCAGAAAAATGATAAATTTACATCTTCCATGGATGGCCAAAAATGCGTTCAACATTTTTCCCATTGGAATTGCGGTTTCATACATTTTTCAGTTTTTGTTGATAAGTACAAAATGTCATAATCCACTGGAGAACCATGGACGAAATGAACATCACATATTTTTCATCTTCGCTTTCCCAAACCTTTTTTTTGGCATGGCGATGGAAAATGTTGTTTTTACACTGTGTTTTACAGTGTTTTATGTTTTTCTCTGAAATGGTTTGATCAATCGAACTTCCATTTTGATCGCGGAAGAACTTGACGTTTGTCCGTGCTGAAACAGGAAAATTTTACATCTCCCATGGATGACTAAAGATGTGTGGAACATGCTAACCATTTGAAGTGCGGTTTCTTTTATTTTGGTCGTTCTGTTCAGAAGTAGAACATGTGATAATGCACTGGAGAACCATGGACGAAATGAAGAACGCACCTTTTTCATCTTCATGTCCACAGAGGCTGTTTGAAGCAGTTGGCAGGAGCGAGAGAAAAACAACAACGGAACTTGCAACGTAGCAACATCTTCCAACCAAGCAACATCTTCCAGGATTCAACATCATCCAACGCACTTCACATGACGTTATTACACCCCCCCCACCCCCTTCTGTAAACAACAACGGAACTTGCAACGTAGCAACATCTTCCAACCAAGCAACATCTTCCAGGATTCAACATCATCCAACGCACTTCACATGACGCTATTACACCCCCCCAACCCCCCTTCTGTCAACAACAACGAAACTTGCAACGTAGCAACATCTTCCAACCAAGCAACATCTTCCAGGATTCAACATCATCCAACGCACTTCACATGACGTTATTACAGCCCCCCCCACCCCCCCTTCTGTAAACAACAACGAAACTTGCAACGTAGCAACATCTTCCAACCAAGCAACATCTTCCAGGATTCAACATCATCCAACGCACTTCACATGACGTTATTACACCCCCCCCACCCCCCCCACATCTGTATACAAGAACGACCTTTCTGGTATAGCATCAAGACTGAGGGTTCCTCGAAGCTCCGGGGAACCCCCAGCCTTGAGCCTACATATATATATATATACATATATATATATACATATATATATACATATATATATATATACAACTATATATATACACATATATATATATATATATACACATATATATATATACATATATATATATATATATCTACATATGTATATATATATATAATGGGATTTTCACCATGGTTAATAGGATTTTCACCAAGGTTAAACGGATTTTCACCATGGTTGAGCATGAGGAACATAGAGGCCAACCAGAGTGGAGGGGGTGGATCCAACTTGATTTGTTTATAGTGCCACGGCCAAGTTTTTTTTGGGATTAATCTGATGGGTCATGGTCATCCAACCATCATGAATGTCATGAATATCAATCCCGACGTCATGGCTATAATTTCCTGGCTTCATGGCCTTTTTTAACCCCTAATGGTGACATGGTGGATTTTGAAATTTGGTCACCAAATGTCACCAGGCTTCAGCCCAGGGCCATACGATCACCGGCAACGACAGGATCAAAGTCCATGTGGCCACCAAGACAGAGATCTGCAGGTCAGGCACCAAGCTCCGTTGGGCCCAGAGCGAACTCAAACGCCCTGGCAGAGGGATGCTGAAATGGTCTGGGAGTTCACGTTTCGTGGCTGAAATAGGCTGAAATTTGTGAAATCCCAAGATATTAGAATCTATTCAATAGATAGATTTCAATAGATTTCAATCGTATCAATGGGGCCTATAAAATTCATAGATCCAATACTTAAAACCAGTGTCTTGTTGGTGATCTTGGGGCCACTGATAGGTCATGATAGGTCGGTGATCAATGGGAAGACCATCCCCCAGGGCGCACTCGATGGGATCATCGTGCTGTTGAAAAAATCCACAAACAATGTATTTTTACAACCATGATTACTTGGGGGTGCTGCAATGCCAGTGAACCGAGGTGATATATATATATGTATAATACATAATATATATATAATATATATATATGTCTATAATATAATATATATATATATATGTATATGTCTATAATATAATATATATATATGTATAATATAATGTATGTATACACAAATAATCATAAATATAACCCTGGTTGTAGGGGCCCCATATCCCAACTTCTAGGGGACATTACCATAATTCTATCAAACTCACCCCTGACCTGCAATTGAAGTAGAGACCATTTGGCACCAAGCTTTGACCAGTAGCCTCTGGTGACTAACACTTTGTTATAGAAAATCACCAATTTTAATAGGTAAATCAACTATAAATGGGCCATTTTCCATAGCAAACTGTTAGTTTACCAGAGGGTACCCTCTGGTAATCAAACTTGGCAATGGAAAATCTATGGAGGTGACTTCTTCGCTTGGAAAATCATCTATTGCTGGGAGGTTTCCCAGCATTTGATAAACCTGGAGGCTAAATAGTTTCTAATGTCAACCCCGGATTAATATACAATGGTTTATTCATTAGGGGGGTACACCCCAAATAGTCACAATCTGATACTTAAATGGTATCCCCTCAATTAAACAACCTAGGGGTTTATTAATCCAGGGTTGACACTATAGATGTTTCTACCTTCCAGTAAACTAACTGTTTGCTATGAAAAAATGGACCATAGAACATGATTTACAAATGACTTACCTATAAGAAAATGAGTGTTTTTTCCCATAGTCATGTTACTTTAGCAGTAGGTCATGGAATATCCCCAATTTTTTCACCATGGGTTAAGCTACACAGAATCCATGGGTCCATGGGGGCCTCGGGAGTGGTGCCCAAAGTCCTCCAGGGCCCCTTTGGTCTCTTCCCGCGGCACGGAAGCTTCGGACGGGCCGGCGATTTCCACTTCCGACATGGCGCGGAAAGCGCAGCGCGGAGGTCTGCGAGATCACGCGGATCACGTGGATCGCCGGAAAAGTGGGGATTGAATCATCAAAGATAGGGATGATGATGACCAATTGGTGGTTTCATTTCAACCCCGAAAAATATGAAAGTCAAATGGGCTTATTGTTCCCAACTGGAAAAATAAAAAATGTTCCAAACCACCAACCAGATGAGATAAGGTGGAGATAGCTGGAGATGTACAAAAAATGAAGGAATTGGAAAATATGGTTTGAGGCATCTGGGTATCCCATGCCCAGACCCAAACTTGGCAAACTGTGCTAGACCCAAGCAGTTCGTTTGTTGAACCCAAACGGTTTGTTGAAGAGTTTCCCCAGCCAATCCCACCCAAAAAAGGAAACTAAGCAAAATCAGGGCAAAATCAGTGACATCATTGTGTGGTTACATAGTCCCTTCATGTCCCTTCCCCCTAATATTAAACAGCCCCTAAACGAAACCATGGTTTAGTGGGGAATTTCCACATTCCATTGGGACAATAAACTGGGGTGTTGAATATGAACAATGGGATTATTGCCATGGTCAAGACATGGTATACTTGGTATGGAATACCCCACGAACCGGAACCGGATGGATGTGCGTTGAACCCCCAATGGATGCACCCCAAAAACTGGGCGTTGATCCCAGTTTTTGGGGTGAGCCATTTACCAACTCCACACATCGAAGCAGGAATTCAGGAACTTCCGCTGAAGCGGCCAGCAAGATCTCTGGATTTTCTCATGAGAATCTGGTGCAGGATACCCGGTGTCATCATCTTCCCATATGTTGGCACCCGACCAGCAGCTTCCCTCATGGTTTTCTTCAGCTTAACTTCGCGAGTGCTTGCTGTACCGCGCTGGCCATGTCCCGACCTGCGAGATCGAAGAGATCCCCCAAGACGCCAGGAATTTTCAATGGAAGATCTCTGCATCTCCCAACAAAAACCTCCATTTCCCAGGGAGAAAAACCTGATCAGCAGCTTTACAAAGCCAAGTGACTGATGAAGAAATGCTCTCCTGTGTCCCCATTGATCCAACATGGGCGCCTGCTGGTGGCTTCTGAGTTCATGTCTGAAAATATTTGAACCAACAGGTTTTATTTAACGTGGTTTAACGTAGTATAACTCCCTTAAGCACCAATCAAGAAGGCTTTTGGTCACTCAACTGAGGAACCAGTTGCAAGCTGTTCATTGTTCATGATACGATTCTTGAGGTTCCTGACCCTGAAATCGAGGTTGATGTGTGCTTTTGCTTTCAGTTTGTGCCATTGCTTTGCTCATGTATCATCCTGGATTTATGCAAAATCCTGAAGAAAGATGACAAAAAACACTATATTTCTCATGTCTGATCAATGAACTAAGTGCCGAAATGGAACATCAGCCAGATCATCCACGTTCTGATGTATATGTTCCTACATTTTATAGTCACCAAAGTTGGAAGTAAACAACTTCCAACGGTTCCATAGAGTCAGCTTCTATGCTGGAATCCCTGGCTTCGGTAACAGGGGGGACAAACCAAGATACCATCTTGAATATACATCCCAAAATTAGAATAATTACTACCCCATTTTACGCCATGGGACCCATGGTATTCTGAATTCCCATATTTTGTTTGATATGTGTGCGTATGTATATGCATGAATGTGTGCATATCTATACACATACAGATAAGGCATGGCTACTCACCAACCTACTAAGGCTTACTAAGGCGATTGAATTCAATCCAGCTTGCAATCCTGGAGAAGATAGTATGGATTGTTCAATCAAAATTCCCATTTCAGTGATGTTTGAAAGGTCAATCTATCTACTTCAGGATGAACATGTGTATACATATATATATATATGCATATATATATGTATATATCCAGTGACCCCAAAAAAGATAGAAAAGTGTTTCCGGGATGCTAGTTCGAAGATGTTTTCCCCATAATCTCTAGGTTTCCAACTTGTCTACTTACTTGGGGTGTTCTGCTTATAAATATATATATATATATTATACATACATACATATCCTCCCCACGACTTCCACCCAGGCGCTCAATGTGTTCGCATTCTTCCGGTGTCAGCAGGTCCCATTTCTCCTCAGTCCATCACTGGTTTCAGCTACGAGTTACGCTGGTGAACCACACATAAGAAACTGGTTGGTGGTTTCAACCCCTCTGAAAAATATGAGTCAATGGGAAGGATTATCCCATATATTATGGAAAATACAATTGTTCCAAAGCACCAACCAGGAAATGTCTTTCGCGCCGAAAATCATATGGATGTTTGTCTTATTCAGTGGGTTTCCTTCCACAAAACAGTTTGAAGTGTAAGCCACTGGCTGAGAAATTGATGATGTTTTACACCCATCAAATGGAATAAATGGATGCTTTTCATGAGGCTAGCCACACCAACACTCTGCTAAACTTGTCTTTTTCAGGGCAAAATTCCGCAACCCCCACAAAGATAGAACAGAAATTAAGTTATTCACCAACTTTTCTACGATATTGTGAGATTCTTCTCCGAGACCCAGAAAAAAACGATGAAAAAATCCTGAGATCGCTAAAATCTGCTGCAAACTACCAAACTACCCTCTGTTTATTAACCAGCGAAAAAGTTACACCTCAATGTTGTCTAACCTTTAGGCTAATCCGGCTAACCCCTAACTTTTTTTGGGTTCAACTAAACATCTCTGTCACTTACCTTCCGACGGTTGTTTTCTTTTCTCTTGGAATCACTTCCAGCTAAGAGTGTGCAAGAGGGCAAGTGGTTCAAAAATATCTGGGTTCCCCAACTGGATATTCCAACCATGGGCAGTGGACTGGTTCAAGGGAGAATTTACAGGAACCCCCCATCTTTCAGGGAAAACCAATGGTTAAGATCTTCCCTTAAACCAATCAGTTGAGTCTCTGCGATTTGTTATATGGAGGTTTCCTAAAATAGGGCTGGCCAAAATCATCCAAAATTAGACCATTTTAGTTATAGAAACCCACGGTGGCTTGGGG